CCTGAAATACTGAATGTCAACTGTAACTGAAAAATTAATGTGAAACTTTCAATTCTATCAATTCACAGATAACATGATTTTACTAGTGTATAGAGAAAAATTAGTCCACACTCAAAATTATTTGAGACAGTGAAACTATTAGAGCTAATAAAGTTCAACCAAGTTGCTAGATATAAGATAAACACAAAAATTGTATTTCTATACATTGGCAAATGAACAAAAAGAATAAAATGGCCGGGACCGGTTTGGCTCAGTGGATAGAGCGTCGGCCTGTGGACTGAAGGGTCCCGGGTTCGATTCCGGGCAAGGGCAGGTACCTTGGTTGCGGGCACATCCCCAGTGGGGGGGGGTGCAGGAGGCAGCTGGTGGATGTTTCTCTCTCATCGATGTTTCTAGCTCTCTATCTCTCTCCCTTCCTCTCTGTAAAAAAATCAATAAAATATGTTAAAAAAAAAACTCAATAAAAACAATAAAATATATTTAAAAAATTTTTTAAATGAATAAATTTCACCAAGGAATTGCAAAATAACAATGAAAACTATAAAACATTGCTAAAAACAAAAAAAGAAAGACTTATAAAATGGAAAAACATTCCTGTTCATGAGTTGAAGGTTTAATATTGTTAAGACAGCAGTACTCCCTAAAGTGATCTACAGATACTTTGAAAATCCCAATGGCCTTTTATGCAGAAACAGGAAAGTTGAGTCTAAAATTCATGTGGAATTATAAGGGAGCCCAAAAAACCAAAACAGTTTTTAAAAAGAAGAATTTACATTTAACCAAAATAGTATGGAACCAGCACAAGGATAGACATCACAACCAATGGAACATATTAGAGAGACTAGAAATAAAGCCATATATCTATGGTCAATTGATTTTCAACAAGAGTGCCAAGACTATTCAAAGGGGTAAAGATTTTCTTTAACAAATGGGTGGCAACTGGATAGCCACATGCAAGAGCCCTATCTCACACCAGAATACAAAAAATAACTCAAAATGCATCAAAGACCTAAATGTAAGAGCTAAAACTATAAAACTCTTAGAAGAAAACATAAATCTTCATCATCTTGGTTTTGGCAATGAACTGTTATAATAGATATGACAAAACTACAAGTAAAAGAAAACATAAATTTGACTTCATAAACATTTAAAATTTTGCTGCTGCAAAAGGCACTCTCAAGAAGTAAAAGCTGCAGGGACCGGTTTGGCTCAGTGGATAGAGCGTCAGCCTGTGGACCAAAAGGTCCCATGTTCGATTCTGGTCAGGGGCATGTATCTTGGTTGCAGGCACATTCCCAGTAGAGGGTGTGCAAGAGGCAGCTAATCAATGATTCTGTCATCGATGGTTCTAACTCTCTATTCCTCTCTCTTCCTCTCTGTAAAAAATCAATAAAATATATTTTAAAAAAGAAAGAAAAGCTTATAGAATGTGATAAAAAAAAAATACTTGCAAATCATCCTACGTAATAAAACAGTAATATGCAAATTTACCATCACTCCACTACAGCCACAAGCCATGCGCACAAGCCATGCCCACTAGCCAATAAACCCAACCAAGATGACTACAGCCACAGAGAGCAGGAGGAAGGCTTGGGTTTCCCAGGCAACAGAAGCCAAGCTTTCCACCTGCCCTTGCTGGCCTAGGCCTCCACTCAAGGCTACAGTTTCAATTATAGAAGGTAAACAAATCCAAACAGAAAAGGCTGCCGCCATGGAGCAAGCAAAAGGCTTGGCTCCACTCCAGGCTACAAAGTTTCAATTGTAGAAGATACATAAATCCCAGATACCAGGGCCTCCCCTTGGGTCGCCAGGTGGGGTGGCTGGTCTGCAAACCACCACAGGCCCCTCACTCAGGCCACCCTATGCCCTAAGGGAAACTTCACCTTGACCCGGGACAACCTTCAGGGCAAACCAGCTGGCCCCCACCCATGCACCAGGCCTCTATCCTATCTAATAAAAGAGTAATATGCAGATTGACCATCACTCCAACACACAAGATGGCTGTCCCCATGTGGTCAAAGATCCTGTCCCCATGTGGACACAAGATGGCCACCACAAGATGGCCAGCAGGGGAGGGCAGTTAGGAGGCACCAGACCTGCAAGGGAGGGCAGTTGAGAGGGACCAGGCCTGAAAGGAAGGGCAGCTGGAGGTGATCAACCCTGTAGGGGAGGGCAGTTAGGGGTGACCAGGCAGGCAGAGGAGGGAAGTTGGAGGCAAACAGGCTGGCAGGTGAGCACTTACACATCAAGCAGGCTGGCATGGAAGTGGTTAGGGGATGATCAGGCTGGCAGGCAGAAGTGATTAGGGACAATCAGGAAGGCAGGCAGGTGAGCAGTTGGGAGCCAGCAGTCCTGGATTGTGAGAGGGATGTCCGACTGCCAGTTTAGACCCAATCCCACTGGCAATTGGACTTCCCTCGAGGGGTCCCAGATAGGAGAGGGTGCAGGCTTGTCTAAGGGACAACAACACTCCTTCCCCCCTTTGCACGAATTTCATGCACCAGGCCTCTAGTATATCTGGAAAGTGTGTAGTATGCAGAATATATAAAGAAGTCTTGTAATTCAACAACAAAAAGACAACCCAATTTAAAAATGGTGAAATTGAATAGATATTTCTCCAAAGAAGATGCACAAACTGTCAACAAGCACAAGAAAAGATGCTCAACAGTATTAGTCACTAGGGAAACACAATTTAAAACAATGTGATAACTACTTCTTACCCACAAGATGGATATAATTAAATTTAAAGAATTTGAGAAATGTTAACGAGGATATGGAGAAACTGGAATCCTCCTACACTACTAGTGGGAATGTAAAATGGTGGAGGCAATAATGTACAAAAGTTCAAGTCAGTGCATATTCTTTGGAGCTGTTCCCACTGTCAGGCTTTTTGTTGTTTGTTATTTTAGCCATACAAATAACTATCTAGTGATATGTTATTGTGGTTTAATATGCATTTTCCTAAGGGCTAATAAATAACATTGAGCATCTTTTGCTTAGCTCATTATTTGCCCTATATCGTCTTCTTTGAAGTATCTGTTTACATTTTTTGTCTACTTTTTAATTGGATTGAGTTTTTAGAGTTTGCAATGTATTCTGGGTAAAACTTTTCATCAGATGGTTTGTGAATATTTTCTTCTAAATGGTGGATTATCCTTCCATTTTCTTTGTTTTGTTAATATTCACCAGAGGGTATTTTCCATTGATTTTGAGAGTGTGAAAGGAAGGGGAAGGGGAAGGGGAAAGTGAGAGGAAAAACATCAATGTGAGAGAGACATGTGGTATTGGTTGCTTCTTGTACGCACCGGGCTAGGGATCAAGCCTGCAACCTGGACTGGAATTGTACCCTTGACTGGAATTGAACCTGGGACACTTCAGTCCTCAGGCTGGTGCTCTATTCACAGAGCAAAACCGACGAGGGCTAGTCTTTCATTTCCTTAAAAGTACCTTGCCCAACTGGCGAGGCTCAGTGGTTGACCATCCACCTACAAACCAGGAGGTCAGGGTTAGATTCTGGTCAGGGCACATGCCCAGGTTGGCAGCTCTATCCCCATTGAGGAGGGGGAGGGTGAGTGTGCAGGAGGCAATCAATGATTCATTCTCTCATCAATGTTTCTCTCTCTCTCCCTCTCCCTTCCTCTCTGAAATCAAATACTTTTTCAAAAAGTGTCTTGAAGAGAAGTTTTAACTTTTAAAAAAAATATATTTTTTTATTGATTTTTTACAGAGAGGAAGGGAGAGGGAGAGAGTCAGAAACATCAATGTGACAAAAACATCAGCTGCCTCCTGTACGTCCCCTTCTGGGTAGGTGCCAGCAACCAAGGTATATGCCCTTGGCCAGAATCGAACCTGGGTCCCTTGAGTCCGCAGGCAGACACTCTATCCACTGAGCCAAAAACAGTTAGGGCAGTTTTAGCTTTTTATAAAGTCCAGTTTACTTAAAAAAAATATTTTTTGGTGTATCTAAGAAATCCTTCTTAAAGCTTTCCCCTAACTTTTCTTCTAGAAACTTAAAAATACCTTATTGGGCACTTGATATAAACAGTATTTTCTTGTAAGGTGACAGTTTTAGGTTTTATATTTAGGTAATTATGAAGGTTCATTTATTTGGGTTTCCAATTGTTGTTACAAACCTTCTATTGAAAGACTATTCTTTCTCCACTGAAGTGCTATGTCACCTTTGTCTTACTGACCATATATGTGTGGATGTATTTGGGAGTTCTCTTTACCGTCGGTGCATTTATGTGTCTGTTACTTTGCCAACACCAATACGGGGGCAGGAGACATCCCAGCGGTTGGCAGTCCCTCTCTCCCATCCTTCCAAGCTCAGCTCCATTCATCTCCCAGCTCTTCTTTCCACCTGTCTTCCACCAGAGCAGCCGAGGGAAGGCTCTCACCTGAGGCCCCAGGTGATCTGGACATGAATTGGGGCATGGTCACCACCCTGGAGCCTTACCGTCCCTCAACAAGGCGCACAAACACTCCCCAAGGAAGGCACGGTTACCAGGACAACCGCCGGCGCGCGAGGACCCAGACCGATTTCCGGCCTGTTGTGAGAACAAGCCCGGTGCGCATGCGCAATTCTAGACCTGCCATCCTCTCGCGATACCGCGGTCAACCCTGGCATTCCCTCTGAAGTTCGGGATTATGCTCTTTAAAGCTGCGGTCTGTCTTCGGGGGCTCCTGACGCACTCACAGCTAGCAGTTTACGCACGCCAGAGAGAAGTGTGCTGGGCAAGGGATACCCAGCTTCGTGACAGTACCGTACATTCTTTAAAAAGGAATTGAGGAGGAAATGGGAAGCAATATGTAGGACGCCTCGCATAGTTTCATAAACATAATAGGTGCTTAGAACGTGTCAGCCAGTGTCAAATGTTTCTCTGCAAGAGAGATGCCCTGCGGTTTGAAACTCCCCGTCGGGCGGTAATCCCGCACCTCCGTCCTCTATTCCTGTGGCATCCCCAAACCCGCCTCCCCTTCTCTTGCGCGTGCGCGCGCAGTCCGGCCGCTTCGCCTCCTGTGTTGTTTGGCCCCTGCTGCGCGCCGTAGGGAGCTCCGTGCGTTGCCATAGAGACCCTTCAGCACCGAGTTGGGGGCCGCGGAGACTCCGGGCTGGTGGGGACCAGAGCGCCATGTCCTTCCGCGACCTCCGCAGTAAGGCAACCCTGTCCCTTGTGACCTGCGGGCCTCCCGAGAGGCAGGGCCTCCGGCCCCCGGGTTCTCTCGCCTGGGCCCCGCCGGGCCCCTCCCGGCCGCTGCCGCCCCCGCCCTGGCTCAGCACTCTCTGCGGTGATGGGAAGTTTTGTATCTGCCACTGGCTGTGGCTAGTGCGGCTGAGGAACTGAAGTTTTAATTTTATCTGCTATTAATTGATTGGTATAGCCACTTCGCTACCGTATTGGAAAACGCAGAAACCGTTTTGGGGCTGGGTTAGGTTAGGACCTTGAGAAACGAACAATAAAACCGAAGGAAGGGGGACGGGGACGGCTGAATAATAATTGCGGCTGACATTTTTTGTGAATATTTACAATCTTCTAGGTAGTGTGTGTGCTTTTTTTTTTTTTTTTTTTTTTTTTTACTCCTCTATACACGCTTCTGTATTTAGAAATGAGAGAGCGGGCACAGAGAGGACACACCCAGGTGGTAAGAGTTGGCGCTAAAGTTTAAATTCAGGTTGTCCAAACTCCAAAGCCTTCAAACTTTCTAAAGGCGCTGATGGGGGAAATGGAACCCACATGCCTTTGCTAGAAGGTTGGAGAAGTGGAAGACTGGGTATGAGAATTAGTTACATTTTACATTCACTATCTTATTTTAGTCCTCACTTTAACAGCGAGGTAGGTGGTATAATTCCTGGATGAAATTTGAGGCCCGGATAGGATAGGTAACGTATCTTTAGGCCACACAGCCAGAACTGGGTGGAACCAAGGACGGGCCTTAGTGCTGTGTGAATCAAAATCTTTTGCCTTTTGTCCTGGCAGGGTGGCTCAGTTGGTTGAAGCATCGTCTGGTGCACCAAAGGGTTGTGGGCTCAATTCCAGGCCGGGGCACATACCTAGTGTGTGGGTTCGAGCCTGGTTGAGGCAGCCAATCCATTTTTCTCTTTACCTCTCCTTTCCTCTCTCTCTAAAAACAGTGAAGAATATTCTCAAGTGAGAATTTAAAAAAAAATCTCTTGCCCTTTATACAGTGTCATTTGCTGAATCAGAAGCAGTTCAGCTAACTGGCAGCAGGATTGCCAGTTTGGTGTGCTCTGTAAGGCCAATTTTCTAACTAAATTGCTGGTATCCGGAATTTCACCATTAAAGATTACTCCTTTCAGTTACGAGTTGCTCTTTTTCTACAATGTAAATATACAGGAAGATGCATCATCACGTTTTGTTAATATGCCTACTAGCCCCATAGTGTGAGTTATTCCCTCTGGGATTTGAAGGTTCTTGGTGACTATATGTTGTAGGGACAAGTTTCTCTTTCCTGGTAGTTCAGAGAGAGCACTCTGCTAGGGGACATTGAATGGAGTTGCATTGGGAAGAGTGTACACGGAGGGGATTTCTGAACATTTTGACATTAAACAAATGCTATACAATTGTGCGATTTATGGTAAGAATCTTACTCTGCTGCATAATGAACAGAACCGCTCAGTGGGAAGAAGTATTTAGGCATGCCTGACTCTGACAGGGAGAGTGCTGCTTTCCTTTCCGTCACTCTGTTCAGATTTCCCAGAAAACAGTGATAGAGGCCCTCAGCGCTGCTGCTTTTTTCTCTGCTGGTGCCTTCTCTTTTGTGGCCTGGTGGAATCCCACCTAATCTCTGATGCCCTGGTCGCTTCTTTGTGACTGTTACTGGGACATTTTGAACATCTACCGTCAAGAAGAGCGAGGACAGACATTAAATAGCCTTGAGCACACTGAGTATAGATCTTGGCATATTGTTGGAACTCAAACACGTTTGTTGTGTTCATTTCCAAGTTCGCTTAAAGCTTCGTGACAGCAACCTCTGGTATCAGAGTGTTAGTATTACTGTTTTTTAATCTGTTTTATAATAAATCTAAATAGTGCTCTATTCTCTTTTAAGATTTTTCTAGATACAGCGCAACTCATCTTTAAAATTTATGTTAGTAAGTTACTATGTGCTCACTAAAAGAAAGAAAAAAGACAACTCAGAAACATGCACTTTACCCTACCACCATCACCGCCCCCCATATTATCCCTGTTAATATTTTAAAATATTTTTATTTATGACATTTTATAAGACCAGGTATTTCTCAGTTTTAGTAGTAAGAAGATATTCAAGAGAGAGAGAAAAGAGAAATTAAATTCACACCCAATCTCTAAACCCCATTGTAATGTACAGCTTCCACGTCTCCCATGGCACTCTAAATGTTTTTCAGGAAGTAGATTATTTTAAGTTTTAACTACTTTTTTACTTCCCTTTTATTAAGAGTTGATAAATAGTCCCTAAAACTGTCAATAGATTGAGAATAAGAAGGGAAGGCAGAGAAAGTAAGTTAATTAGTTGTTGTTTGACAACGAGTTGACTGAATTGTATTTTACTTGAACAGATTTTACAGAGATGATGAGAGCCTTGGGATACCCTCGACATATTTCTATGGAAAATTTCCGCACACCAAATTTTGGACTTGTATCTGAAGTTCTTCTCTGGCTTGTGAAAAGGTTAGAATTGCACTTCACTGCAGTCTAAGAATGAATACGCAATTTTATTTATTAGCCACCTAGAAACAAGTTATTGTTGTGAAGCTAAAGGAACTGTTCAATAAAATTTGAGTTTGACAGATTTAGGTGTAACCTTGTTAAAAGTCAATTGACTTTTAGAGAGTGTTGTGGGAATACAAATATACCAGTGAGTGGTAAAGGGAGACTGTTTCTCAGGAGGAAGCAGACACTGGGGTCCAAGTTCCTCTCCATTCCCTCACCTTCATCAGGGAGTGACAAGGTACCTCGAACACTCTCAAATGGGTACACTGGATTAGAAATAATTTCAATTTCAATTTGTGTGTAAAACCCAGTATCTAACATTTGTGGTTGGAAAACTTTTGTTAAAAAGATGGAAGAAGAAAAAAAAAAAAGAAGATAGCAAAGACCTTAGGTGTTGCAGGCAACACAAGATCTCTCTTGTATATTCTATCTTGTGTTTTGTTTTTTATAACCCTTGAAAAATATAAAATCCTTCTTACTGGCAAGCTGTACAGAAAGACACTAAGGGCTGCAGTCTGCCAATTCCTGGCCCGTCATTAGTAACATAAAGAAAGTAATTCCATTAAAAAAAAAAGAAAAAAGAAAGAAAGAAATTCCAACAACTCTGCTGCTTCTCAGAGCAAACTGGTTAGCTCTGGGTTAAGGGCTGTCAGCCAAAGTAGTCATTCTGATTATTTTAACTTTGAGATCTGAGAGATTTAATTTTGTAAGCTGAGCCCCAAATTTGATTTTTGAAATTAGTTAGACCTATTCTTGGGGTGAGGATTTGCTCCCTTCGATATTTGGTATTTTGTGCTGCTTTTGAAGTCTTTCTTAATCTTATTGACTTCTCAGGGGACTCAGAGAGCTTCTTGTGTCAGTTGCCCACTTACTTTTTCTGGACTTTATAGTAATTAACTGGTGTCTTCTCTCTGTGTCTGTCTGCTCTCTCTCATAGGTATGAACCTCAGACTGACATACCTTCTGATGTTGAGACGGAACAAGATCGAGTATTCTTTATTAAGTCAGTTGCCCAGTTCATGGTTAGTTCGTGTTTATTTGATGGAGTTGTAAAATTAAATATGTTAGAAAGAAAGAAGTCCTAGTTAGGGCTTCTTTCAAGTTTCTAAACCTATTAACAGGTTTCTGTAAAGCCATTTTTCCAGCAAAGTATTTAGTTTTAATTCAGTATTTGTTAAGATTTTAATTTATTTTTGAATAGATTACATATTTCATGGTTCAGAAAAAAAAATTTTTGTACATCATGAAATGATAGATTAAAAGGCTTTCTTATCCTCTATGCTGTCTGCCTTCTGCCCAGTTCCATTCCCAGTAATCACTATTAATATTTTCCAGAGTTTATGCATATGTAAGCAAATAGGTTATAAATTCTTTTCCTCCTTTTGGCACAAATGGTGGCATACTGTTTAGAATCTTTTTTTAAAAAAATATATTTTATTGATTTCTTACAGAGAGGAAGGGAGAGAGATAGAGAGTTAGAAACATCGATGAGAGACAGTCATTGATCAGTTGCCTCTTGTGCATCCCCTTCCAGGGATGTGCCCGCAACTAAGGTACATGCCCTTGACCGGAATCGAACCTGGGACCCTTCAGTCTGCAGGCTGATGCTCTATCCACTGAGCCAAACCGGTTTTGGCCTGTTTAGAATCTTGCTTGTTTACTTAATGATACATTTTGGAGAACTTTCCAAATACATATAGAACTTCTTATTCTCTCTTAACACCCGAATAGCATTGCTTGCCTGGATAAATCACAATTTATATAATTTATATGGATAGTCATTTAGGTATTTATAACCTTTGCTCTTTGAACTAATGCTGTAACAGATAACCTATATGCATCTGATTTATTTTGTTACTATAGCCATCTCTTAAAATAAATTCTCAGGATTGAATTGCTAGGTCAAAAGATATATGTATTTGTAATTGTGTTGTCTTATACCATATTGCTCTCCATCAAGATTATATCAATTAAAACAAAGAAAAGGTTATATCAGTTTACACTTGTAATGTATGTAATGTATGAGTCACTTGAAAGTTTGATTCTTATTATAATCAGGTTATATCCCAATTGTTCACAGAGACATTTTCAAATTACCTATATGAGATTTGGTTTAGATTCTACATGGAAAAGACCTTAAATTGTTTGTTTGTTTTGGTCTGAAAATAGGCCACAAAAGCACATATAAAACTCAATACTAAGAAGCTTTATCAAGCAGATGGGTATGCAGTGAAAGAACTACTGAAGATCACCTCTGTCCTTTACAATGCTATGAAGACAAAAGGGATGGAGGGCTCCAAAATAGGAGAGGACGACATCAGCAAATTCAAGTTTGATCTTGGCTCAAAGGTAAGGACAGTGAACGGCTAGTAGGGAGGGATGAAATGTGTATTTCTCACTCTGAAATGGAACATGTCACATACTCATAGCACTGCTTCTTTTCTTACTCCTTGAATGAGGGCCGTTCGTCAGTTTTGTACTCATCAGCATTTGGATAGAAGCAGAAGTCATAATAAAGTAATTCAACTATTTCCTGAAAGCCTGTTGCTAGTAAGGAGGGAGAAGTAGACCTAGCAGGAACAGAATCCTAGAGGACTAAGGAAATAGGAAGAAAGACAGCTATGAATGAATATTGAGAGTCATTGCTGATGGTTTGATAATAAAAAAGAGATACTGGGGCCCTAGCTTGTTTGTCTCAGTGGATAGAGCATTGGCCTGCTGACTGGAGGTCCCGGGTTCGATTCCAGTCAAGAGCACATGCTCAGGTTGCGGGTTCAATCCCCAGTAGGAGGTCGGTGCAGGAGGCAGCCAATCAATGATTCTCATCATTGATATTTCTATCTTGATATCTCCCACTCTCTTCCTCTCTGAAATCAATAAAAAATATATATATTTTTAAAAAGAGACACTGGGGATTTGTTGTTTAGGAGAAGGAGTGTGAGCAGAGCAGGGAGACGTTTGTTTGGACTCTGAAAATTTAATATATTCAAGGAAGAAGAGGTGACATGCAAATCCCAAAAAAGAAGTTGTGCACGGGGCTAGATGCTAAATCATCATCATCCTCCTCTTCATAGCAATAGCTGCCACCCTTGTGGGAGCTGGGTTCTATTGCATGTTAACTCATTTGATCCTTCCAGCAGTCATGTTATGCAGTCTAAAGGCAGAGAATGAGTGGACAGAAGGCATCAGGATGCTGTACTAGGAAGTGTGTCCTCCTGTCACTCACCATGGCAGGGGTCCCCTGTAGTGACCTAGTCCAAATAGAAAGCAAGTCAATTGCATTTGACTTGACATTTGGGTTTTTAAAGAGACCCGAAGTTGTTCCAATTTGTACTTAGATCAGTGTTTCCTAAACTGGTATCTGAGCTCTCTTCCACAGGGTGCAAGGATATGTCTTGTGGAAAATGTGTCCTGTAGACAAGTATTCTGACTGGAGGTGGGAATTGCTATCAGACTGATTATTTCTGAATGCCTATTAAAAACCTGCCACTGAGGTTCCTGTTTTTGATATTCTCCTTCCAGATTGCAGATTTGAAAGCAGCCAGGCAGCTTGCTTCTGAAATCACCTACAAAGGAGCATCTCTGTATGACTTGCTGGGCAAGGAGGTAGAGTTGAGGGTAAGCAGTGCTCAGATAACTTAATTACTTTCTCAGCTAAGCAGACTTTCAAGGATTTCTTTTCCAATTCTTTTTTGCCCTTGTTTTTCTGATTTTATTAAACTGTACCTGATTAAATGATACAATGTGTGAGAGTAATATATAGTGTTTGCTGCTGTTCTTGCTTCAGTGGGCACTGGTCTATTTTTAATAACTTTGACTTCTAGTTCAGGAATGGCAAATACTAGTATGTGGCATGCTACTAAGACATGCCACATAGTAGTATTTATCCATGTCATACTTTATTGATCATGGTACTTTTCTTGGTGAACTCAGCCTCAACATTCTTCTCAAAAAAATCCTCTTCTGAACCATGATGGTTCCCAAACCTTGCTGCCCAATGCAATCACCCAATGCAACTACGGATGCCTGGCTTTCCATTTTGATATCATTGGTATGAAATGTGACTTGGGCATTGGAGATTTTACAAGTCTTCTGTGTGATTCTAACGCCCAGAAAAGTTTGGGAACCAGTAATCTAGGCAGTCACTACTGATCAGTTAAAGTTAACAGTTTAAGTTTACTTGCAATCCTATTCTAGTTAATGTCATGTGAGGAGTATGCTCCATCATATTTAAGGAGCTACTTAAGAGTGTGGTTCTGGAGGACTTCCATAGAGCTCCTATGGAGCTTTTAAAGTACCTGATGTCCAGGTTTTCCCAGAAACCAATGAGTCAGAATGTCTGGGGGTGAGAGCCCGGCATCAAGTTTTTAAAGATTTCCAGGTGATTCCAGAGTGCAGCAGAATTTGGGGTCCACTGGTTTAAGAAGAAATGGAATATTATTTAGTTATTACCTATAAGGATTTATGGCACTTGAAGGACACATACTCTCATCTAACATTTTCCCACCCCGCCCTCTGCCCTTTCCCCTCTCCCCATTGTCCTCATCCATAGGTGCACAGTTTATGTTCAGTCTCTTCCCACGCCCCCCTCTCCCCTTTACCCCAAGAATCGTCAGTTCACTCCCCTTCCATACCTCTGATTCTATTATATTCAACAGTTAATATTGTTCATCAGATTTTTTTAATTTACTTGGTTTTTAGATTCACTTGTTGATAGTTATGTATTTGTTGTTCATAATTTTTATCTTTGTTTACTTTCTCTTCTGAAAGAACCCCCTTCAGCAATTCATATAATTCTGGTTTGGTGGTGATGAACTCCTTTAGCTTTTTTTTATTAGTGAAGCTCTTTATCTGGCCTTCGATTCTGAGTGATAGCTTTGCTGGGTAGATTATTTTTGGCTGTAGGTTCTTGCTATTCATCACCTTGAATATTTCTTGCCATTCCCTTCTGGCCTGCATGGTTTCTGTTGAGAAGTCAGCTGACAATCGTATAGGTGCTCCTTTGTAGGTTACTACCTTCTTTGCTCTTGCTTCTTTTAATATTCTCTCTTTGTCTTTTGCTCTTGGAATTTTAATAATGATGTGTCTCGGTGTGGTCCTCTTTGGATTCCTTTTGTTTGGAGTTCTGTGCGCTTCCTGGACTTGTAAGTCTAATTCTTTCACCAGGTAGGGGAAGTTTTCTGTCACTATTTCTTTCAGTATGTTTTTGATATCTTGCTCTCTCTCATCTTCTGGGACCCCCATAATTCTGATGTTGGTTCGCTTGAAGTTGTCCCAGAGGTTTCTTACATTATCTTCAATTTTCTGGATTCTCTTGCCTTCTAGCTTCTGTGGAGGAGTGTCTTCTGGCTCTTTATGTTCCAAATCTTTGACTTGATTCTTGCGATCTTCCCTTCTGTTTTTAGGACTCAGTAAAATATTTTTTATTTCAGACAATGTATTCTTTATTTCTTGTTGATCCCTTATCATTTCTTGTTGACTCCTTATTAATTCTAGTTGATCTCTTTTCATATCCTCATAGGCCTTATCCATCTTTTCTAGGAAATTCTTGAAAAACCTTATAAGCGTAGATTTGAACTCTATATCCAGACGCTTTTTGTCCTCCATTTCTTTCTTTTGTGATCTATTTTGTTGTCGCATTTTGCAGTTACAGATGGGACGGGGTTTCAGGGTGGAGCCTGCAGCTTTGGCTTCTGTCAGCCCCGCCCTATGCGGGTCCTTCAGTGCTCGCTGCTGCCGGTGCCTCTGAGAGAAAGGTGCCCTCGATTTTCGCCTGCTGCCAAACAGTCTATGCTCTCCCCCAATGAGCCCGGTATTGGGGTTCAGTTCAGTTGGAAGTGGAGTTGGAGGTGGCGTTCAGAGCAGTCTGGAGCCCCAGTCTCCTTCCCGTCAGGGCAATCTCGCGGCACAGCCGATAGTCCCTTCTCTGCGCGCAGTGTGCGCGCCGGGACCTCCTTTCGCCTCTCCCCCGGGTTCCGCCTTACAGCCTGGCTCCCTATGGCTGAGCCTGAGTCACATTTTTAAATTATATACATTTAATTTATTCCATTCTCATCAGGTATGTCAGCCATGACCACTCTCTCTCACTTCCTTGCCTGTGTTCTGGCATTGCTGCTACAGTGTTATGGTATTTTTTCCTCTTGCCATTCATTTCTGCCCTAGGAGAGAAGACTAGAGTGGGAGAGTTGAATGCCAGGTCACCATGCCTGCTTTTGATATACTGGCTGCCACCTGCTAAAGTGCAGTTGGCAGAACAAAACTGCTATTAATGTCTAAATGCTTATTTAGATAAGTAATGGGGCAACTTTGGGCTTCCACTGTTTTCTGTTCATAGTGCACGTGTCTATACATGTTCATAACAGACCCAGAGACAGGAGCTGGTCACTTGCTATTTGTCAGTGGAATAGAGTGATGGCTTCATTGTGAGATTTCACTAGGGACCCTTTAGCACCTTTCCATAATGATGAAAAGTCAGTGGCTGAACTGTTACCATGGACGCCATGAGACCCTTCTCAAATTCTGTGTGCAGTTGTGATTGAGAAAGATGCCCTAGTCAGTATTTGTTTTTCATACACTCAACCAACATTCATCGAGGAACCAAACCACCCACAGACAAGGCACTGAGCCTTGAGTGAGTCTTAATCCCTTCTCTCGATAAGTTTTCTACCAATGGGGAGATAAGGTGCACTGTGGAGCTAAAGAAGCATGAGACAAGAGTGGGATAAAGTGATTCAGGCATCTCATAACTGCATGCCCATTAAAATTCCATATTTCAGAAGCTCCCAGTATTGTTATGAAAGATAGAAATGTCTCTATTGATTGGTCCATGATTAATGCTAGGGGCAGGGCGAAGGCCACTTTTCTCATTGGTTGTAGTTTTCAATGATAGTCAACTTAGAGGACCTTAATCATAAGAAAGATTGTAGAGGCTGGCAGGTGATTCAGACAGCAAGTTAAGCTTGGTTTTGGAGTCCCCTAAATAGAATGCCAGTAAAGAAGCAAATTTAGGAGAAGTGAGGGATGGTGAGTTGCCCGTGGTGCTGTGGGGACCTGGGACCTGTAGCTGAAAAGTAGGCCGATGCATTGGAGAGAGGCCAGGTGGGCGGAGAGAGGCCAGGTGGGCGGAGGGAGGCCAGGTGGGTGGAGAGAGGCCAGGTGGGCGGAGGGAGGCCAGGTGGGCGGAGGGAGGCCAGGTGGGCAGAGGGAGGCCAGGTGGGCAGTGGAATTACAGGAGACTGCATCAGAGACCCACATTTTAATTAAACCTTTAGGAACCAGCCAGTAAGCGGTTTCTAGATCTGGAAATTGGTTTTGAGAATTCCTCTTCTGAAAATATATGTAATTTTATTTCATTGTTTTCCATAGGAACTGAGAACAGAAGCAATTGCTAGACCTCTGGAAATAAACGAGACTGAAAAAGTGATGAGAATTGCAATAAAAGATATTTTGGTAAGATTACTTTGCCTTTATGTAATGTTTTTATGCCTGTGCCTTAAACCAGTGTTTTTCAACCTTTTTTGGGCAAAGGCACACTTGTTTCATGAAAAAAATCACGAGGCACACCACCATTAGAAAATGTTAAAAAATTTAACTCTGTGCCTATATTGACTATATATAAAGTAATTCTCTTGAGTAGGAATCAAATAAACACAAAGAAAGTATTTTATAATTACTTTATTATGAAATATTAAGTAAACAAAATAGTGAAAAATTATAAAATTCTTGTCTTGTCTGCACCTACGGCACACCAGGCAACATCTCGCGGCACACTAGTGTGCCGCGGAACAGCGGTTGAAAAACGCTGCCTTAAACATATGATTTCTGCCCTGGCCAGTGTGGCTCACTGATAGAGATCAGCCTGTGCACTGAAGGGTTGTGGGTTCTACTTTTGGTTAAGGGTAAGTACCTGGGTTGCATGTTTGATCTCCAGCCCCTGTCAGGAGGCAACCAATCGATGTGTCTCTTTCACATCAATGTTTCTCTCTTTCTCTCCCGCTTCTTTCTCTTCCACTCTCTCTAAAAATCAATAGAAGAAATATTCTTAGGTGAAGATTAATTGATATTTTGCCTCCATATGACAGAACAAAAAGCCCTAGTTACAAAAGAAGGATATATTAATAAGGAAGTGAAAAATTTAGAGAACATTCTAGAATATTTAGCTCACTTGCTTTTCTCCTCTTATTAAAAATATGAACAGCTCATGTTTACTAAAAGTTTGTAAATTTTAATAGTTTAAAATTATATTAAAATTTTTAATTATTTAAGTAAATAATGCTCTATTTTACGGGCTCTTCATACTTTATTTAACCAATTCCTCATTGCTGTGCCTTAAATAATTTCTAGGTTTTCTTGATTCTATACATCACTGTAATAAATAGCATGATCACTGGTCAATTATCATTTGCTCATTTATTTGGAAGGCAGATATGAGGGGCATTCTAGACTCAGACTATTTGGATCTTAGGCAAGTTATTTAACCTCTCTGTGCCTCCCTTTCCTGATCTGTAAAATGAGGAAAATGGCCACATAGGGTCCTTTGAGCATTCATTACAATGTTGCGTGTCATACATAGTCTCTGGCATAAAGTAGGTATTTAGTCATTATTAGGATCACTTTTTTCAGTAGGCATAGGCAGGGATAGGTATAAAACAATTTGCTGAGAGTTGTACAACATTCTCAGATGGATAGGTTTTTATAAGACCCTGCTATAGCCCAGCTGGCGTGGCTCAGTGGTTGAGTGTTGACCTATGAACCAGGAGATCACAGTTCAATTCCTGGTCAGGGTATATGCCTGGGTTGCAGGCTCGATCCCCATTGTGGGACTTGGAGGAGGCAGACAATCAATGATTCTCTCTCATCATTGATGTTTCTCTCTCTCTCCCTCTCCTTTCCTCTCTGAAATCAATAAAAATATATTGGGGGGAAAAATGACTCTGTTATAAAATGGTAATGCTCCCTGGGAGACCCAGCATGGGATTCCAGAGCCTCAGTAGGGTGAGAAGAACAGGAAGTGCAAGATCTTGTACCAGAAAGCAAGGAAGTGCTCCCAAGAATGAAAGGGACCTGTGAAAAGGACACAGAAGCCAGCTTGAGTAGGCTTCCCCTGGCCAAATGAGGACAGTTTAAAACCAAAATAAATAAATAACATATTGGATTATTGACCATTGAGTGAAACGGGAGATGATGGGTTCTCACTGATATAAAAAAAAATAAGTGAATATATTGACAGCTAGTTTTTCACATAGTTTCAAAGTAATTCCAGCCCTAGCTGGTTTGGATCAGTGGTTAGTTAGAACATTGGCCTGCGGATTGAAAGGTCACAGGTTCAATTCTAGTCAAGGGCAAGTATCTTGGTTGCAGGCTCAGTTCTCTGACCCGGTCAAGGTGCATACGGGAGGCAGCCGATGGATGCTTTTCTCTCACATTGATGTTTCTCTCTTTCTGTCTCTCCCCTTCTCACTCTGAAAATCAATGGAAAAAATATCCTCTGGTATTAACAAAAAACAACAAAACACAAAGTAGCTCTTCCACAAAATACAATTAATTACAAAGGGGAAAAGAGTACCTTCACATGAGATTCCTGACAGACACCCCCTTAAAACCAGGTGATCAAAGTGAACATCACTAGTAATGGGACAATTCGAAATTATGCACACATGATATGATGTCATATCTGTGCTATTTCTGCTAAAGATTCATAATCTGAAGCTAATCAGACAAAGACAAATTGGGGACATCCTATAAATTATCTGGCTCGTACTCTTCAACAGTGAGAAGGGCATTCCAGACCGAAGGAGGCTAAATGCCAGCGGTGACCTCTGCTGTTAAGGACTTCATGAGGACAAACGGGTGGGTGTGAGGGTTAAATGGCAATAGTGCATCAGTGTTCATTTTCTGCTCTGATGATTGTATTGTGGTTCTGTAGGAAAAAGTCCTTATTCATAGGAAATACACACTAAAGTAGCTAAAAGTGACGGGGCATCGGGGTCAGCAATTCACTCCCCTAGGTCCAGAAAGAACTGCTTTGTATTATACTCCAGCTGTTTGTTAGTTCATGATTGTTTCTAAATTTTAAAAAATTGACATGATAATATTCTTGTGCTTGTCATTGTTCTGGCTGAATAAATTTAACATAGCATGAATGTGCCTTTAGCACTACATATGTATAAAAAATAGAACAGCCAGATGAGCGCACAGTCTATTACTTAGTGAACATTTTTAAAAATATATATATTTTATTGATTTTGTACAGAGAGGAAGGGAGAGAGATAGAGAGTTAGAAACATAGATGAGAGAGTGTCATCGATCAGCCACCTCTTGCACACCCCCTACTGGGGATATTTAGTGAACATTTTTAGAGGTATTATTTCAGCCCACTGGTTGAGTATTGACCTATGAACCAGAAGGTCAAGGCTTGATTCTCAGTTAGGGCACATGCCCGGGTTGCCAGCTTGATTTCCTGTAGGGGATGCTCTCTCATCATTGATATTTCTTTTTTTTAAAAATTTTTTATATATTTTCTTTTAACACATTTTTATTGTTTTCAGAGAAAAAGAGAAAGGGAGAGAGAGAAACATTAATGATGAGAGAATCATTGATCAGATGCGTCCTGCACACCCCACTCAGGGGATCAAGCCTGCAACCCAGTCATGTGCCCTTGACCGGAGTCGAACTCAGGACCCTTCAGTCTGTAGGCTGATGCTCTATCCACTGAGCTAAACCGGCTAGGGCAGTTAAGTTGTAATTTTGATGTGGTTGTGTAAGGATTTGAGTACCTATGCTGCCATATTGACCTGAAGCTTTCTACTGGTATTTTTAAAGCACTTGCAGCAAATGGATGTTTACTGATAGTATTTCCATGAAAGCATCTTGGAAATGGTTAGGTGTCTCAGACAAAAATAACTTAACCATAAATTCATTATCAATGAAAGTAGTTGCTTCCAAATGCACACTGTCTCTGTGAGTTGTGGAGAGGGCCTGGTCTCCTTAGGTGATTTCTTTGTATACCCCATAGCATTTCAGAGACCTGCAGTATACTGTATGGTATACCGCACATGTGCAAAGTATTGGAGGGGAGATCCCCATCTTGGCAATCAGAATCTTAAGGCAGTCGGAGAGCCCGAACTTGGGGAGGCAGTTCCACACTCGGTTATTGTATTATTCTGATATGTCAGATTGCTATCATACATAGGCCCCATCCTGGCCAGCTTCCCGGACAACATATGTGTGAAGACACACTGCGTTTACTCGTACTACCACTGCTTCAAATAAACTTGCTTTTACGAAAGGACAGGGAGGCCTGTAGTTTTCATCAGTGATTCATCCCCTTTACTTTCTTACTCAGCCCCCCTCGCCCAAGAGCCTCTGCCCACTGCTGCCAAGGCACCCTCCCAGTGGCTGGTATATACTGCCGCTTCTGTCTGACTTCACAGAGTGGCTTCCCTGTTTCTTGTAGTCTGTAGTCAAGGTTCAGTGGCCAGGGAGAGAAAAAAAGGAACTCTCTCAATCCCAGAAGGCAAGGTCCAGCTAATGTTTCTTTTTGTCCCCTCCTAAATAAAGTCTGGCTTTATTTAGGAGGGGACAAAAAGAAACATTAGCTGTGTGTGCCTACAGGGATGGGCAAAAGTAGATAAAAGAACTCAGTGACAAAATGTGCTTGACTATAGCAAGTAAACTACAAGAATGTGTAAATTCGCCGAAACTGGTTTGGCTCAATGGATACAATGCCAGTCTGTGGACTGAAGGGTTCCAGGTTCGATTCCCGTCAGGGGCATGTACATTGGTTGCAGGCACATCCCCAGTGAGAGGTGTGCAGGAGGCAGCTGATCGATGTTTCTAGTTCTTTATCCCTCTCCCTTCCTTTCTGTAAAAAAATCAATAAAATATATTTTTTAAAAAATGTGTAAATACTGAAGGCCAGCAATTTGAGCACTTGCAAGATTGCACCTAAGTGCACTGTGCCATTGTGACATTCTTTTGAGTTAATAAAGCTATTGTAATAGTCATAACCTGCATATATTTTTCCATATGGTCAACCGTAAACCTACTTTTGCCTACCCCTGTAACATCCTGGAAGTCCGGTATTTGTAACTATGGGAGTGACCTGAACAAGATGTAAATAACAGCAGACTAACAATTCAGAATGATAGGTAACCAGTCTATAAACAAGTGAGCAGGCAGGAGATCTTAGGCCTCTCTCCACTCTGCGTAGGACGATGTTCTTTCCATCTTTATTTGTTTCCCTTGGCAGAAACACCTTCTTCTCATGGGGGAAAAAAGAATAATAATTTTGTCTGGGCCTATGTGATGTTCCCTTTGGGAACAGTCGGTTATATAATGACTTGAGGGAAGGTTTGCTGTGTTTGCTTACTTTTGTTTTTATTTAGCATGGTTATTGCTGTGCCAGAGGATTTGAGAAATATTGAGTTGGAGGTCCTTACTGGGACATTGTCTCATTCATTTCCTATTAAATGCAGGCTCAGGTTCAGAAGACGAAAGACCTGCTCAATAACGTGGCCTCTGATGAAGCTAATTTAGAAGCCAAAATTGAAAAGCGGAAATTAGAACTGGAAAGAAACCGGAAGCGACTCCAGACTCTGCAGAGTGTCAGGTATATATGAACACCCAAAGAATGAGCAGAAAGCTGTCTTTGAAAGTTCAGACAGATTGAGAGAATGTACTGTCAGTGATATTAACCCTTCAGGCAGTGGGAGAAGCCTTGAATAAGGCTCTCTCTACTGCAAAACGTTCAAACAAGCACACCTCTAAACTCATTTTCTTTATGGTATGTCTGGAAAACTGCTTAATTCTTGAACTTCCATTCAGTTTTTATAGCTTCTTGGAATTTAAGGCAAAGTAAGTAAATCCAGATGGTAAAAGTTATATAAGACTTGGTCTCCTAAGATCTGTGCCTTGCCATAAATTAGGTGGAAACAAGCATACTTTCATTTCTTGGGTTAAGTAGTAGACTTAGAATTTTATTTCCTCACCAGTAATTCATCTTTCTTCCACTTTCCCTCACTGACAGTGTGTTTCCCTGGGACTGTAGATAGATGATAGTGGTGCAAAACACTTCTAAGTCATTGGAGCCTTTCAAGCATGTTCCTCATATTTTTTGGAATCTCTCTCATTTCCTTCCCTCCTCCCTCTCATTTTGTACCCTCCTTCCCTTACTGTTCTTTTTTGTTGTTGTTCTTTCTCCCATGTCACTACTCTTTCACCCTTTTCAATCTCCTTTTGTTTTTCTCTTTCTTTACTCCTTCCCCCTTTTAGCTGTACCTGCTCTCAATGTGTCTTGCTCTTTTGAGATATTGGTGACTGGCCCACAGTCAGCTACTGTCCTAGATGTGTGGGGAGGCAGCACCTGGGGACAGCAGCCAGTTACTCAGGGGACATCAAAGGCTTCCTCCCAGCCCAGGGACCTCACCTGCTCTGCCTCTAGAATCAGGGCCACCAGATAGACTTGTCTCATTAAGTTCTGCCTTTCAAGTGTCAGTTCATTTTTGTTAAGCCTCAAATCCTTTTAATAGAAAGGTTTGTGTGTTTTGCTTTAGTGCAAAAGGTTATAACATTGTTTTTTAGTTTATCTTTAAAAGAACAGATTTTCCCTTAAATAAGAAAAAAGTAATTCAGCAAACCAGTTGAAATAGCTTTTTATGTTATTGGTTTTAGTTTGTAATTTTATATTGTTTAAAAACTTAACTTTAATTTATAGCAATCTATATTTCCCTTTTTAGGGGACTGGTTAAATTTTGGCATAGCAAAGTATTATACCCAACTAAGATAATGCATATATTTAATTTATTGATTTTGAGATATGTGTATGCTATATGCTAATTTTTAAACTATTTAAATCTGTGGCTTAGTGGGGAGGCAATGGAAAGATATGTACACATCTAATACCTTAATAAAAATACATAAATAAATCTGTGGCTTATCAAGTGAGAAAAAAGACTGTAGAGCTTTATTTAAGACAACAATTTTCAACTTATCTCATGGAATAAGTAAATTAATTACTAAAATATTATATTTTTTTCTAATCTGACAAAAAATGGGTATAATTTTGATTCATTCATACCAGATAGCTCTTATTGTGTTGGCTGTTGTCAGTTTTTTGTTTTTGTTTTTAATTTGACAACCTAAGGAAAAAGATGTCAGTGCCTTTGACTAAATAGTCAAGTATTGAATGTTTTAAAAATTCTTGTGGCACAACAGTGTTAAAATCACTGATTTAAAGTAATATACTTAATGTTTATTAAAAAATGTGTTAACATAAGAAAGATTCAAACCTATGAAGAATTTTTGTGAGTTTATTTGAGCTAAAGTGTCCACAAGTGCTAGGAAGGAAGTATAATCTCAACAGATTGAGATAATGCTCCAGAGAATGGCAGTTTTGCACCTTGTTTTATACATTACAATTAAAAGAGGAGATGTATGTGGGTTACATGAAATCCATTGGTTCCCCCCAACTGCCCTCCCCTGCAGGCCTGGTTCCCCCCAACTGTCCTCCTCTTCCAGCCCAATCACCCCTAACTTCCCTCCTCTGCAGGCCTGATCATCCCCAACTGCTCTCCCTGCTGGTCATCTTGTGGTGGCCATCTTTGATCACATGGGGGTGGCCATCTTGTGTGTTGGAGTAATAGTCAATTTGCATATTGCCTCTTTATTATATAGGATTATGTAGGATATGTATAGAAAAGTCTGGAAGAATATATGTCAGATGTTTTTTTTTTTGTTTTGTTTTTAAATATATTTTATTGATTTTTCACAGAGAGGAAGAGAGAGGGACAGAGTTAGAAACATCGATGAGAGAGAGTCATCAACCAGCTGCCTCTTGCACATCCCCCACCGGGGATATGCCCGTAACCAAGATACATGCCCTTGACCGGAATCGAACCCGGGACCCTTCAGTCCCCAAGCCGACGCTCTATCCATTGAGCCAAACCGGTTTCAGCATATGTCAGATGTTAAGTGCTTATACCTGCTGATGAGATTATGAACATTTATTTATTTATTTATACTTCCAGCATTATTTCAAGTTTTTATAAAAATCACATCTTCTTTGATGAAAAAAGTGTGTTCGTTTTTGGAGAAGGGAAGAGAAAAGGGGAAATTAGCTTCAGGCTATTGTTGGAGAACTGGGAAGCATTTCCTCCAATTAATTCAGACTTTTTAAAGAAAGCCGTGACAGAATATGAAACTCTGAATACCAATTTCAAACTACTATATATCAATTAATCTTTCACTTTTTATTTCATTTGATCATTCTAGGCCAGCCTTTATGGATGAATATGAGAAGATTGAAGAAGAATTGCAAAAGCAGTATGACATTTATCTGGAGAAATTTCGAAATCTAGCTTATCTGGAACAGCAACTCGAGGATCATCATAGGATGGAGCAAGAGAGGTTTGAGGTGAGTGCTTAGCCCACTCTTCTGCACAGACCATTCTTTCTGGTGTGTCACTTTGTACTTGTTGACAAATCAAGGGTATCAGCTTCCCAACTGTAGTAGTATCTCAGGCAGTGTTAGTTTTCTTCCCTTTCTTCTTTATTTTATTTTTTTAATCCTTACCCAAGGATGTTTTTCCATTGATTTTTAGAGAGACATAGAGAGAAACATTGATGTGAAAGAGACACATCGATTTGTTGCCTCCCACATGCACCTTGACCAGGGCCATGGATCAAACCTGCAACCTAGGTTACATGCTATGCCCTTGACCAGAATCAAACTCAGGACCTGTCAGTCTGCAAGCCCATGATCTGTCCACTGAGCCAAACTGGCTAGGGCTCTTCCCCTTCTTTTGGTTTAGATTTTGTTCTGGTTCTGTATCACAAACTTAGCACTACTTACTCAAATGGTAAAAAATAATAAAATGTCCAAAAAGGGTCATCTCTTCTGAATCTTTTTTCTGTTCCATAGGAAGCCGAAAATACTCTCCGTCTGATGCAGAACAAGCTGAAGGAAGAAGAAAAGCGACTACTCAAGAGTGGAAGTAAGTCTTCACTTTTTTAAAATTCTGGAGTAGCATTTTTAGCATTGAAAAATTTATATGTATATTTTATTTCTTTTCAAAAGGCATTTTTCTCACACTTTATATCTGGTACCATTTTATTTCAGTCAAGAGCTCAAGAGACTGGTTTAAATTACATAACATTTAAAGCACATTGGGTTTTTTATGCTAACTAAAATAGTGTTTTCCTCTTTCTAAATGATAGTTTGAATAGATATAATATATAATTATAAAACGAAAAATATGTATTGAAGGTCTGTAGAGTTCCTTATTTTAGGGCAGATTAATGGAAAACAAGCAACATAATGAAGTGCAAGTGAATAGATGACTTGCTTAACCCACACACCCATTATCAGCAGAGCTATCATCTATAGAGAAATGGGAGTTACCTCTATATAAGATCTAGATTCTGGGAAGGAATGTCCTCCATGTCTGGTTAGGATAGTTCATCCATGAATTAACTTCACCAAGGTGTCAGGTAAGCCTCAGGATCTTCCTGCTGAATTGATGGCTTTATCTCATAGTGTTACTTCTGGCCCTTTTTTCATGATGATATATTTTATTTCCCCATGCTTGAAGATAGTAGACCTGGGGCACTAGGCATGCTCTTTCTATCTTTTCTTGTCTCTCTCTTATTTTGCACTTGCTCTGTGCCTCTCGAGAATCTCAGGGGACACTGGAAGGAGAATAGGGACTGCTGGGAAATCCTCTTGGGGTAAGGTTAGGAAATTCAAGGGCCTCTCTAGCCAAAGCAGCCCCTTGCCTTTATGGTTCCAGGTCAGCCAGGAGAGCCCGAAGCTGCCCTAAGTGATAAGACCGCATGGAATTTATCCCCTCCTGGGAGGCCTGGCACAGGTAAGAGCTCCGGTTGGTTGGCTGTATCCTGCTCTGCCCCAGGCCAGCACATTCAGACCTTCCTCACTGATCTTGGTTTGTTCTTCTGAACTGAACTTTCATTTTGTGACCCATACGTTTGGGATCTCTTGAAGGACAGAGATTCTTAGAAGCATGTGTGATTTAATTATTTCAGAAAAAATTTCCAATGTAAACCAACTTAATGAAGGATAGCACTTAATTAGCTTGGAGTGGACAAAGAAGTTAGGAAAATACTTACGAAAGACTATTCTCATTTCTACTCACCCTAAGGTTCTTTGCTTTCTTTGCATGTGTGGGAACATTGCCCAGAGTATTTGTATCAAAGAAGAAATATATAAAGGCAGACTCTATGAATTTTTCTCCATCTGTGAAAGAGTCTTCCAAACAGAAAAACAATAGTACATAGACATGAATCAGGAGCAAGAATTAATAAAATATAAGAGCTGCAAGAGATCATCTTGTTCAGGTCACTCTTCAAGGAGCCGATTCAACCTAGCAAAGCATTAAGTATCTGGGTGCTAAGGATACATGAGTGGATAAAAGATAGGGATCCTTGCCCTAACTGATCTCACAAGAGACAGATAGTAAGGAAGCTAAATGGAGAAGGTGAAAAATGCCATGGGGGAAATGCAGAGCAGGTAAGAGGGATAGGGAAGGTGACAGAATTGCTGCTTTAAATAGGGAGTTAGGGTAGGCCTCACTGAGGGGAAGCTATTTCAGTGAAGACTAAACCAGTAGAGCTGGGGAGTTACCAGATGAGGAGAGTCTGGAAGCCAGAAACACTGGGAGCCAGAGCCCAGGTGGAGGGCTGACTTTCAGTGAGTGAGGAAATATGTGAACCTGCCGGACTTGAGTTCAGTAAGTCAGATGACCTGGAAGGTGTAACGTGCTAGAAGGGCTCATATCTGATTGAAACCATCCTTCCTGAGCAGGAGGTTAAGTCATCTTAGGTTTGGTTTTGGTGGTTTAGAGTGAAGGACTTGAGGAAGAGAAAGTTTGAGTGATGAGAGATGGGAGAATGCCATGGGGGCCCAGAGATTAAAAGGGCAAGGTACTTTGTTTAGATAGCCCGTAATAGAAGTTGTTCATTTTCCCACCATCCTTTTAAACCTTGTTGCTAGTGGTAGATTTGTAACTGTATCCTCAGTAAGCTTCCTCACTATAGCATTAGAAACTTAGAGTCCTCTGCATTAAAAAATGTCCCAGAAATTTCTAGAAAGCACTTGAGTAATTGAATGGGGTTTCTGGTCCCAATTCCCGTGTGTGGGGGAGGTCTTCCCTACACTGAGCAATTTTTGGATGCCAGCTTGGGACTGAATTCTAGCTGGAGGTGGAATCAGATTCCACAGGTAAAGGGCTCAGTCTCACAAGATGGCCCTCCATTTCAGATGCCAGGTTGTTACCTGTACTTCTGACTGGCTATACATCAGAAGTTCCTACAATCCCTCACAGGAAAACCTGTTTACTCAGTAAATTACTGATGCTTTACAAAGGATATTAAAGGATACCAATCAGTAGTCATTTGAAGAGATACACAGAGCAAAGTCTCCAACAGGAGGTCCTGTCCTTGCGTGGCACATGGAAGCTCTCTGGAATAGACCCTTTGGGGTTCATTTCTTTGTCTTGATTGGCCATTGGAGATTGATTTAACCTCAAGTCCCTCTCCTTTCCCCAGAAATCAGGACTTAAAGTTCCAATTCTCTAATCACCTGGTTGACTCCTACTGGCAACCAGGCCCACCCTTGGGTGAGATCCAAAAGTCACCTCATTTACAATACTTAACTAGAGACAACATTGTTACTCTGGTTGTCTAAGAAAGTCCTTGCTTGGGATTTGGGAGTTCTGTGCCAGGAACTGGGAGGAAGGCCAAATCTATATTTCTTATTATAAATCACAATATCTTAGTAACCTTGCTGTGACTCTGTTTTTATAGTATAGTGGAAAGCAGGTGTTTATACATGGTGGGACAAAAGGAAAATCAATTAAAAAAGAAAAGAATACAATAATTAGTAAGTAATAATACCAGAATAACCTCTGTGTTTTGAGTACTCCCAACTGTAAAACCTTTTGCCCTGCCTGTACTTACTGCATGCCCACTGTGTATCAGGCATTGTGCCAGCCCACAGTGATTGGTGAGGCTCTCAGGGAGCTCCAAGTCTAGAACTGTACTATCCACTCCTTAGCCACCAGCTACACGTGGTCTTTATCACTGGAAATGTGGCTAGTCCAAACTGAGGTGTGCTGTTTGTTGAGAATAGGTAACCAGACAACCAATGGGTCTGGGCTGCCTGTCACTGCTTGAGCCAATTAAGCAGAGACAGGGTTGAATCATGTATGTTTATACCATTAATGCTGGGAGTATGGGAAAGCAGCAAGTCATCCACAAAAATCTGCTCTGCAACCCCCCATGTGTTGAGTAGGACTCAGATTACATGGGTAAGTAGGCAATGTGGACTGGGTGGGACTCCATTGTTTGGGCAACAAGGTTGTGAATCTTTCCACTATAATAGGCAGGATTGGAATGAGAATTAACTGTATTCCAAGGTTGACTCCCCGGTCCAAGGTTGACTGCCAGGTCTAAGGTTGACTCCCAGATCCCTGGGGCCTGCCATTCCCAGCCAGGTTAGAAGGTCCTTTCTTTAATCAGAACAAGGCAATCACAGTTAACAGAGCATGATTAATATTTTTTATAAATATAATTAATCCCCAATATTCTATTTTTGCCCCTAACAAATATATACCAGATTTTGAAAGAAAAGTAAATTCATAATTTTTTACTTTGGTTACTTGTTGAAATGACATTTTAGGTATTTTGGGTTAAAAAAAAACATTAAAAGTACCAGTTTCTTTTTACTTTAATTTAGTCACTAGAAATTCTAAAATTACACCTGTCGCTGGCATGATATTTATGTCGCTGGCATGATATTTATGTTGAATAGTGCTGTTCTAAAAGGAGAAACTTACAAACTGCCTATAGTTTAAGTGGCTATGAAATAGTATCTCATTGTGGTTTTCATTTTAATTTCTCTAATGGCTAATGAAATGGAGCATCTTTTCATGTGTTTATTGCTGTTTTTAAAAATATATATTTTATTTATTTTTTATTATTATTTTTTTTTTATAGAGGAAGGGAGAGGGATAGAGCTAGAAACATCAATGAGAGAGAAACACCAACCAGCTTTCTCCTTCACACCCCCTATTGGGGATAGGTCCGCAACCAAGGTACATGCCCTTGACCGTAATCAAACCTGGGACCTTTCAGTCCGCAGACCGATGCTCTATCCACTGAGCCAAACTGGTTTTGGCTTATTGCTGTTTTTATATCTTCTTTGGAGAGATATCTATTCAAGTTCTTTGCACATTTTTAAATTGGCTTATTTATCATTTTATTATTGAGTTGTAAGTTTTTTTATATATTCTCGGTACTAGAATATATAAAGTATTTTATAAATGATTTAAATGATTTGTGAATTGCAAGTAATTTCTCATTCTTTAGGGTGTTTTCACTTTTTTGATGATATCCTTTGCTGTACAAAGTGGTTTTAAAAAAAAAATACATATTTTATTGATTTTTTTACAGAGAGGAAGGGAGAGGCATAGAGAGTTAGAAACATCAATGAGAGAGAAACATTGATCAGCTGACCCCTGCACACCTCCTACTGGGGATGTGCCTGCAATCAAAGTATATGCCGTTGACTGGAATTGAACCTGGGACCTTTCAGTCCGCAGGCCGATGCTCTATCCACTGAGTCAAATTGGTTAGGGCTGCTGAACAAGGTTTAAATGAAACCCAGTTTGTCAGTTTCTTCTTTGTTGCTTGTGCTTTTAGTGTCATATCTAAGTAGAAATCCCTGCTTAATTCAAGGTCACCAAGATTTATGCCTGTGTTTTCTTCTAGGAGTTTTATAGTTTTAACTCTTACATTTAGGTCTCTGATCCATTTTTTTTTTTTAAATCATAAAGCAATTTTATTTTTGCTCCTGCTGTTTCTTTAAGCCCCCTCATTTGTCTAGTTGTATTATGTGTCCAGTGATAAGTATAGTCCTCAATACTTTTCTGATATATTTTACTTTAAAAAACAAATAAGCAAAGTGAATATAAAAAGCAAAACACCAGTTTACATAAAAAAGCACAGTCTATGTTCAGTATTTTTACTATATCCAGACAGCACTAATAACCAAAACTACAAGGTTAATTTAAGAGTAAATTCTCCCCTCCTCTATGTCTAGCCAGCTACAGGATGGTACCTGCAGTAGGTAAGAAGGCATCCCTTACGCTTCCCTGGGAGGAGAATATCTTAGGTAAGCGAACACAATTAAAGATAGGATGTGAATCTAGGGCACATGTGTTAAACACAAGGCCCGCGGGCCAAATCCGTCCCGCCAGGCCTTGCAATGTGGCCCGCACCGCGCTGTCATCACTGCACTCCGCTGCGTTTCCATCACAATGACAGTTTATGACTGTTCAGTAAACCATTCGGCCCGCGATTTAGGCTGGATTTTAGATTTTGGCCCCTTCTCTGATTGAGTTCGACACCCCTAATCTAGGGAGTCTGGTTCTGAAATCCATGAATATAAGCTCTTGAGCAAATCCTTTCAATTCTTAAGTAGGCAACACAGTCTGATCCATTTTTAATTAATTTTGTAAATGATGTGAGACAAGGACCCTACTTCATTCTTTTGCATGTGGCGAGCTAGTTGTCCCAGCACCATTGGTTGGAAAGGTGATCCTTTCCCTATTGAATTTTACCAGCATTATTGTCTGCTGTACTTAATTTTAACATCAGTGACAACTCGGTGATTTCAGTGTCAGCATGCCTTAGTTTTAGTTTACCTGCTTAGTCCTCAGTGAAATGTTTTGAGTTGTCAGAAGAAATCATGTTAAGCCTGAAATATCTGTCTTAATGTTGTTTTAAAATTCATGATATGATTTGGTTTATGTTGCATTGGATACTGATTTACTACCATAATTTTCCTGGATGAAGTAAAAATGAACAAAGCTGAACAATGATTTCATTTTATAATCACTAATTTGTGTTAATATTTAATCATATTCTCTGGTTAGGGCTTTTGGAAGGTGGTAGTTTTCAGATCAATTGTATTGAAGTCTTGCAGGATGCTATTACTGACACTCTCTGGCTCCCAGGTTTGCTCCGCTCTTCTCTGCATGGCTACAGAAAGCAGAAAACGTTCACTCTATGCCCAGCTAGACATAGCCGCCACTTCATTTCCCTCTTAGATCAGGGCTTAAGCAAAGCTTTTTTGTAGACGAACGATTCCTATACTTCCAAACTGACTTATGAGTCAGTGATCAGAGCAGCAACTGCAAAGTGCCATTCTTTTTTTCTTTACAGAGAGGAAGGGAGAGAAACATTGATGAGAGAGAAACATCAATCTGCTGTCTCCTGCACACCCCCTACTGGACGGTGCCCACAACCAAGGTACATGCCCTTGACTGGAATCAAACCTGGGATCCTTGAATCCACAGGCCGACGCTTATACACTGAGCCAAACCGGTTAGGGTTTTTCAGTGCCATGCTTAAAACCTATGTGTGTCTCTGGATGCAGAGTAGTCAGGTGCTGGACGGTAAAAACTTTTTCTCCCCACTGAGGAAAATCTCATCCTGTAGGTTTTCATAAGGAAATGTTCAACATGCACCCAACTCCAGGAGAGTATTTAAGAAATTAATGTAAAAGGCCATGATGTTGAGAATGACCTTTCTTTCTATATCTTTATAATGGAATTTTCTCTAATGAAGAACGTCATGAGCACCAGTTTCCATTGCCAGTCAGTAGGTCGCCATTTTTCTCATGCCAGCCCTCGTCAGGCCGTTCCTATCCTGGTCTCCTTCTTGCCTCCAGCCTTGTTTTGGTGCAGTCACTGAGCTTTTCAATGGGGTATTCTTCATATTTGTTATCCTCAAGGAGCTTGAATTTTGGTGACACAGCCTAAAATTGAACAAAGAATTTTTTCCCCTTCCAACTAACCAAGAACTCCTAGCTATCTTGACAGCTGGCTAGTCCATTGTTTAATTTCACATACTGGAATACTGTTTCTAGGTAATGTATCAGACCCACTTTTTTCTAGCTTTGGGGGAAAAAATAAATAAAAAATAAATAAACTGCCTATTGTTTGTATTAACTCTTCACTAAGTATCTACTAGCAAATCCTGAAGTTCTCGTAAAATCTAATGCATCAAAAGAAAGGCTGAGAAGTGCATATGACTTGCCAAGAGCCTTACTGGACAGAGGCTGGTTTAGAAGAAATGATGGATCCACCCCTCTCCCCCCTTTTTTTCCTAATTTGTGTTCCTGCCAGGTAATGACGACTCTGATATCGACATCCAGGAGGATGATGAATCTGACAGTGAACTGGAAGAGAGACGGCTGTCCAAGCCACGGACAGCCATGGAGGTGCTCATGCAAGGTACCAGGCTGCTTTCACTTGCCCCCCTCCCTGTGCCTGTCACAGAACACCACGGCCCAAACTGGGTCAGGGCTGCTTGGTTTAAGGCCCATAAGCACACTGTGAGCGGCCCTGCTCTAGGATTTTTCTGCCCTGCTGTTTATCAGGATTTGGCTCTTAAACTGCTCAGTGGTCATCTTTGTCACTAATGCTCTTCTTATCTGGAGTCCCAAGAACGGCCAATTCTTATTTGTGGCGTGGTGTTTCTCAGAGTTTACTGGAACACACTGCCTCTGCCACTGAGCTATATTCTGCCTGTTTTGGGCCCAAACTGTTCTCAGTGCAGTTAATACCTTATAGTCAGATAATGTCCAAAGAAGGGACTTGTAGAAACATCTCTGCCTTTTCAAAATGTTCTTCTAATTTCTACTTTCTCACTGTAACAGATTCAAGCAATAAAATGCATGGAGCAAATCTGGGCGAGAGGTCTTCCTCATGTTTTACTCCCTACCTTAGGCCAGGGTGCATCCTTCCAAATTGCCTTCATACACACACACACACACACACACACACACACTGAAACATGGACACAAAGAGCTTCTGAAATGTTCTTTAATCGAAGTGGGACCAGACTGTGTGTATGGTTCTGCAATCTGCTTAAAAAAATTTAAATCTATTGAACTCTTCCCATGTTAGTAAAATAGTAAAGATCTCCTTTCTTTTTGATAGCTGCATATTATTAGTCCATAATATGTCTGTACCTGTAATTTACTTGGGCATTCTCATGTTAACAGATGCTTAAGTATCTATCAGTACTTAAGATACTCTTTCCTTGTAGATTTTTCTGCACATCTCCAAGTGTTTCTTTAGGCTATGTCATTAAAAGTGGAATTCTTAGGTCAAAGGTTATATAAATTAAATTCTGATACTACTAAATTTGCCCTATATTTACCTTTAAAAACATTTCTTATTTACCACTTATTAATTTTCAGAGCACAATTGCATTTTTATATACACAATAAATTTAAATGGTAAATTATCTTCCATTTGTCATTTCATATTAACTTTTATTGTTAACTGTTTTATTTTAGATCCACCTATCTTATTACATTTTGCTTTATTCATAGGATAGTTAGATGCTCTGATATTTTTTTTCCCTTTAATTTTTTGAAAGCTTCATGACATCACTAGAGATTAGAGGTTATGACTCCTATTCTATCATATGAGAGCCAGGGCTCTAAAATGGTATGTGATTAGTTCAGCTGAACCTCATAAAGGCACTGGTGCTCCTAACTTCTACTTCTGACAAGTCGCTGCAGAAGTGAAACAACACAAGACTTGCATTTTACCTGATCCAAGGAACAGTATCCTTAAACAGCTCCGGCCTATCCTGAGTGACCTCCCTCTGAGCTGCCCTCCATCAGAAGTAGAATTTAGGAGGTTTCTCCAGAGGCCTGGGCCTGGGTCATGGGTGTTGCTTTCTCAGCCTTCAGGTATGAGAGCAGCTCTCCGTCTCCACCCAGTGAAGGACGCCTCCTGCATAATCACATCTAGACTTCCACAGGAGGGATGGAGAACCACTCAAATAATGATGATGTTTTCAAAGATGACCTTTTAAAAATAAATATTTTTATGATTATAGAGAAGAAGGGAGAGGGAGGGAGATAGAAACATCAACTATGAGAATCATTAATTGGCTGCCTCCCTAAATCACTTTAGGGAATGTGATTTTCCCCTAAAACATTTATAGAATGCATCTTTATTTTTCTGATTTATGATTCATGCTTACATTTCACTGCCCTTTTCTTTGTGTTAATGTGGAAATGCAGAAAATCCGTTACCATTTGTCGGCAGTTCTGATTAGTTGAGATGCTACTTGAGTAAATTTTTCTGATTTCTTCTTTTTCCTAATGTTCTAAGGAAGGCAAATCTTAAATGCCATTTTAAGCCTTATAAGGTTTTTTACATTTCTTCATGCTTTTATTCTCCCCAGGAAGACCTAGCAAACACATCGTGGGCACAATGCAAGGTGGAGACTCCGATGACGATGTGAGTCCCGACCAGCCCCCATTAGCAGTTGTATTCTCTCTAGTCTAGGGCTGGCCTCTGGCTGGATTAGCCGGGAACTAAGCACATTTGACCAGCTTAGTGTAGGTGTGGTTTCGCAGCCCGCATCACTGGATTTGTGGCAGTTTGGCTCCCAAGGAGCTGGATTCTCTTCTTTGATTGTTGATGGCTCATTTCTTTTCAGTGAATCTGCTTCCCCTACTTTTCCCCTCTCATGTTCTGTCTGCTCTCCCTTTCCAAAGATGGCAGGAGCACCAGCTCTGTTAGGTAAATGCAAGACTTCCAGCTCCAGGAAACAGGTTGGTTTTCTTTTTCACCCCATCCATCCATCTATCCGTGTGTGTGTGTGTGTGTGTGTGTGTGTGTGTGTGTGTGTGTATCAGCTTGCTCAGGGCCAGTAGAGAACCTTCCCCAAGAATGATGCTTCTGTTTTCCCCTCCTCCCCGCAACCCCTATTGATTTTCAGAGTGGGGAGGAGGGGAAGAGAAACATTGACATGAGAGAGACACATTGATTGGCTGCCTCCTGCTCTTCAGGGATCAAAAATGCAACTGAGGTTTGTGACCTCATGGAAATCAAATCCATGATCCTTCAGTCTAGGGGCTTAAGGTCTAACCACTGAGTCAAAACACAGCCAGGGTGACAATGTTTCTTTAAAAAACAAATTATTGATTTTAGAGTGGAGGGGAGGAGAGAGAGAGAAACATCAATGATGAGAATCATTGATTGGCTGCCTCCTGCATGCCCCACACTGGGAATCAAGCTCACAATCTAGGCATGTGCTCTGACTGGGAATTGAACCGTGACTTCCTGGTTGATAGCTTGACGACACTCAACCACTGAGGCATGCCAGCAGGGCGAGAGTGTTTCTTTTCTTTTTCTCCCTACAACATTTTACTTTGTGGCTCTCCATCCCCAATCTGTCAAAAGTCAAAATAAGCTTTCCTTCCTTCTCTCCTACCCACTGATGGGTCTCTGAGCCACCAGGAGCAAAGCAGCATCCAGTGAGCCTCGGGCAGGTCTCATGTTCCTAAGTCATCAGTGGGAAAGCCAGTCCCCGTGGCACCTACCTTGGATTATTGCATCTTGGTATTTGAAGGTTACTGCTTAGAGGATACATGGATCTCTGTATTGCGGCCAGCAGTATCTAAATGTTTTATGCCCCCACAACCTGACCGCTTCTCTGCCAAGCTCCTCCTCCACATGGGGGTGTTGCTAGTTATTGAGCTACTAGTAAAAGGGTGAGGTAGGGTCTTGGTGACAAGATGTCAGGAACAAAGTGGGACCTCAGTTGTATTTGCTGTGTTTTTCCTATAGGAAGACTCCGAGGACAGTGAGATTGACATGGAAGACGACGAAGAAGATGATGACGATCTGGAAGACGAGAGCATTGCACTCTCTCCAGCTAAGTCTAGCCGAAGGGTCCGGAAACCTGAGCCCCTGGAAGAGAGTGACAATGACTTCTGACTTTCTTGTCAAGGGACCCAAGCAGATTAAAACCCTCAGATTTGTAGGTAAATGAGAATTTAAAAGGTTAGAAAGGAAACATACTTTGTTTTCTAAGTCAGTTGGACTTATTGTTACTGAAGTATTACCTGTTTTTTGCTTTAGCCTCCTATCTGTTACTCCATGAAGCTTAAACAAGAACCAGAGCAAACTCCAAAGATGATTTTTTTGCCTTATCTCCTAAAGAAAGGGAAATAAGTGTGTGCTTAGCGATTCACATCCACAAGACAGAAACTTGAGGAGAAACAAGTTTCTATGAAAGTTTTGATTATTGTTGTCGTCACATCTGTCCTCTGCGAGTCAGAGGACAAACCTGCGGCTGGCACTGCACATAAGGACTCGTTTTAGGAATCAGCGTCGGACTATTAGTAACTTGTACAGTTTAGAGGCTCTTAATTCTAGCTTCTATTCTGTTTTATAGTCTTTTTTCCCCCTGCATGATCACAATACCAAGCTTTAAATGTATTTTACTAAAATTTTCTGAATGGAATTTAGTTAAGTCAGATGAAAATCAACTTTCTTTGAAAATTAGGCAACAGAAGATCCTCCAGATTACAAATACCCTATTTTCTCTCAGAAGGCCAGCATTCCTTCTTAGGAAAGTTGACTTAAAAGAATAAACCAGAACTGAAATAGGTAGAGTAACACTAGAATTTCCCTATTGTGAAGAGACAAGTGACAGGTGGCATTTCTGTTTGCTTCTTAGAAAGCGCAGAACAGTCTTTATTGGTATTCAGTTATAAAGTAAGAAGACTTCTGAAGTTACTTCTCCTAATAAATGTTTTTAATAGAATATTTTTATATTATTAAATTTCACTTGAAAATGTAATTTTTTTGTTTATTTGCACTGATAAATACTCGAGAAAAATTCATAGTAACATTACTATGGTACATATAAACTTTAGGAGACTGTGACAATTAGTGCAATCACCTTTGCTTTTTACCTATCTTTTTCTAAATTTTATATATGAGATTACCCCTTTTTATAAAAAACATTCAGCATTCAGTTAATTCATCAGTAATTTGAGATGTGCCATCTTTTTAAAATTAAATATATATTTTTTGATTTTCCCTTAAAGAGAAAGGGAAAGGGAAAAAGAGATAGAACATAAATGATGAGAAAGAATCATTGATTGGCTGCCTCCTGCATGCCTCCTATTGGGGATTGATTCCACAACCTAGACATGTGCGCCGACCGGGGATCGAACCGTGCCTCCTGGTTTTATTGGTCAATGCTCAACCACAGAGCTATGCCAGCTGGGTGAGAAGTGCCATTTTTGAAACAATAAGCTAAATGGGAAATAGGTGTGTTGGGAGCCTTGCTAACCACTCGGGTGCTATGGCTTCTAAGGTGCAAAAGAGTCCCTGCACCTTTTTAAAAAAAATCGGTTTCAGAGAGAAAGGGAGAGGGAGAGAGAGAGATAAAAACATCAATGATGAGAGAGAAACATTGATTGGCTGCTTCCTGCAGGGGATCAAGCCTCCAACCTGGGCATGTGTCGTTGACCAGAATCGAACCTGGGACCTTTCAGTCCACAGGCTGATGCTCTACCCATTGAGCCAAACTACAATAGCTAGGGCAAGTCACTGCATCTTCTTGGATGTTACAGCTTTGGTTCACCTGAAACTGACCTGACTTACATTTTGAAAAAAAACTAAAAATGTGTTATTATTTTCCATATGTGATGCTTTCTTCTAATGGGCATTAGTTTGGGACTCCTACCCAAGCCACTGATAGAATGTCCACAGATAGAGTAACAGCTGTAATGGGTGATTCATTCTTTCACCTGCTTCTTGATCATCCTTCATTCCTTCGTTAATTGAATTTGTGCAGGCTCTCAGTGGCTTCTGTCAACAAAGGAGGTACATGTACTCGATCATGTTATCAATGTATTTCTGTCACTGTAATGGATTCAAATATGTGCAAGTGCCTTATGGCCTGGTGTGATTTGGTTTTAGTTACGCAGCAAAGCAGACTCAGGCGCCACAGAAGCTTGAGTGATTAGGTCTGTGAAAAACTAGCTGACAGCGGTGGGTTTTTGTTTTTTACTGTATAATTAAAGGATCTCTTAAAATGCTTTAAAATATGTGTATTGACAGAAAATATAAAAGAATTTTTTAAGTTCTCAATTAAAAAAATGTTTTTATTGAGTTTTTACAGAGAGGATGGGAGAGGGATAGAGAGTTAGAAACATTGATGAAAGAGAAACATCGATCAACTGCCTCCTGCACACTCCTTACTGGGGTTGTGCCCACAATCAAGGTACATGCCCTCGACTGGAATTGAACCTGGGATCCTTCATTCCGCAGGCCGATACTCTATCCACTGAGCCAAACTGGTTAGGGCATAAGTTCTCAATTTTTATTGGTGGTAGCCGTCAAGAACAAAGTACAAAGACGTCCTCTAGGAAATCAGAAGAACTGTTTCCCTATTAGCTGGGACAGGAAGAAATAAATGCAAGATATCTTTTTCTAGCATTGTAAACGGTAATATCAGTACCAAACATCTGGAGGGAAGATGTGTCTCTGGTAAGCAACATGCTACGTAAATATCACAGCTGTTCGATTGACCCAGGGGAGCTCTTGGGTGCTGGACTCCAGGCCTGGTTGAATTGGAAGAGAACGAAAAGATTCTGCCTCTTACCCGAAACAGAAGTCCTTTCAATGAGGATGTGACCGGAGCAGGAAGACAAAGGGTTCAAGAAGGTGTGTCATTAGGGGGAAACGGAACTGATGGAATGACCAGTGTGTCTGTGAGAGACAGTATTCAGATTTTACACTTCTCTTGGACAGTTTGGAAAATAAGTAATAGTGACATAGAAAATTCATTAAATATAAAAAATAATACAACTTCATTCTAGAAAGAACAATGACATAGGAAGAAAATGGCTTAGCAATGATCCATACTAATAAATTCATAAGATAAACACTAAATGATGATTCAACCCCAAATCATACTATATGTTGGAAGGAGGAAGAGAAAAAAGGGGGACATAAGGTGATGTATGTACAAGTGCCATTTCCCATAAAAGAAAGTCAGTAGGTACTCTCTCAAATGATTAAGCAATAAATAGTGGACTTTGGAAATTAGGAAATCGGGGACTTTAGCCAGGACAAGTGAGATAACAGGAGAGGTTGAAATTTAAGGCCAACACAGTGAGTACTGATGACTGTTGAGAAAGGGATGGTCATAGTGAAGAGAGAGGACAGAGCTGGGGGAGAAAAGCAAGGTCAAAGATCATTTTGGAGGACTGAGCACAGGAATTGTTTTAGGAATCAGTGTCAGACTATTAATCATTTGTACAATTTAGAGGCTTTTGATTCCAGACTTTATTTTGTTTTATGTCTGTATATATGTGAGGGAAACTTTTTTTTTTCTTAGCTGAAAGAAACTAGCTTGTGAAATGGGAAGGGTTGAATTAGAGAGAAAAAAAATTTTATGCAGCAAAGTCTGCATTAGGAGCCATTCTGCTTAAATTCATACTTTATATTGAAAATATATAATACATACCAGAAAGCCAGCTGGGTAGAAGTTACTATTTGAGATAAGAAGGCTAAGATTGATTTCACAATTTTTACACCTCGATTTCTATAGTGTCTATTATAGAAACTGTTTTCTTGACTTGGGCAATAGGTAGAGAACCCACAATATTGAGGCATTTCCTCAGAAGATGAGCCAAAGTAACCCTAGAATGAAAGATGCTTAACTCTGGCTAACAACGCTTAAAAGCAAGTTTTGAAGGATCCAAGTGTTTCTAAGTAATTGTGTACCAGAACAAAGATCAAGAATATTTTTATAAATATAAAACCAGCACCCAGAAAGATAAAATTTCCAATTTCTGGTGTTCAATAAATAATTACCAGGCATGAAGACACTGCGGCTCCAAATGCAGCCCAAATATCCTCGAAAGAGCACCCTGAGGAGAAACAAGCTTGACCACTATGTCATCACCAAGTTCTGTCTTACTATGGAGCCAATCATGAAGAAGACAGAAGACAACAATACACTTGTGTTCATTGTGGACATCAGTGTCAGCAAGCACAAGATCAAATAGGCTGTGAAGAAGCTCTATGATATTGATGTGGCCAAAGTCAACACCTGATTTGGCCTGATGGAGGGAAGAAGGCATATGTTCGGCTCCTGACTTTGGAATTCCAATAAAATTGAGATTTGAGTCCAGCTCCCTAATCTTATGTAATAAAAGCTTAATATGCAAATCAACTGAATGGAGGAATGACCATTGGAACAACTGGTTGCTATGATGTGCACTGACCACCAGGGGGCAAATGCTCAACACAGGAGCTGCCCCCAACCTGCAGGCCCCAGGCCAGCCAAGGCAGGTGTCAGCAGGGGCCCCCAATTGCCCTGCCGGTTTCCCCTCAGAGAGAGGCAACTGGCAGCGGTGGCAGGGGGTAGAGCCGATAAGTGGGCAGCATCAGGCTGGCGAAAGCAGGTGCCAGTGGGGGCCCCTGATTGCCCCACCGGTCGCCCCACAGATTGATCGACCCTGATCACTGGCCAGGCCGAGGGACCTTACCTGGGCACAAATTTTGTGCATTGGGCCTCTAGTTCTAAATATAAATTTTTTTCACTGTAAAAAAATTATCAGGCATAATGAGAAAAATCAAGAAATAACCCATAAGTGATAGGTGATAGAGTTAGTAGAAAAGAACATTCTTTCAATTATATATTCAGTGTATTCAGGTGGTAGAGGAAATCATGAGCATATTAAGGACAGACACGGAAGATATAAAGTAAGCCTCAAACAAAACTTATAGAGAGTAAAGAAAATGAGATGAACTAAACAAACTGAGATGAGAGCAGTCAGACACTGCAGAAGAAAACATTACTGATCGTGCAGACATAGCAATAGAGACTGTCCAGAATGAAAAACAAGACACCCACTGTCCTGGGATCCATTTATTGCCTCAGCTCCAAATTCACCTTTTGGCCTGCTCTGTTGTAACAATGCTATTTTTTTTTTTTTTTTTTTTTTTTTTTTTTTTTTTTTTTTTTGTAATATCTCTCCTTTATCAGCCAGCAAGATGTTGGGTGTTGCACGTAGAGGGTGCTGGAGAGACTTTGGAGAAAGTCAGGGCTTTCCTTCCAGTTAGAGGATGGCTTGCTCTTTGAAGTCCGTGAAAAGCACTCTTTTTCTCCACTGCTTCGGCCCCTGAGGTTTCTCTGGTGCTAGGTTCCTGCATGGCACAGTTTGCTTCAAAATTTAGCTACTGCAGCTCTTGTTCTGATGTGTTCTCAATTCAGCCAGAAACAGTGCAAACCAAAAGACAGTATATAGCATCTTGAAAGTACTGAAAGAAAAAACTGTCAGTAACCAGCAAAAATATCTTTTAAAAAAAGTAATCCAATAAATACCACACATGACCCGTGTTCAAATGTCCCCAATTACCAAATAATGTTCTTTATGGCTGGTTTCCCCCGCTCCAGTCTAGGATCCAGTCAGAGATCTTAAGTTATGTCTCTTGAATTTCCTTCCATTTAAAATGGTCCCAAGTCTTTTGGATTTTTCATGGCATTGACATTTTTTAAGAGGTCAGGCTAGTTTTTTTTTTTTTTTTTTTTTGCAGAATGCTTCTCAATTCTGATTTTGTCAGATTATTCCTTCGTGATTAGATTCAGGTAAACCTTTTTGGCAAAAATACTACATCAGCGATGTCCTTCTCAGTGCATCACATCAGGACCGCTGATGTCCATTTGTCCCATTATTGGTGACATTAAGTTCAATCACTTAGTTAAGGCAACATTTGTAAAGCCCTTAGATACCCTTTGTGGGGTGATGTTTTGAGACTATGTGAATTTCTTCTTCTTCAATTGGCTTTCATCCAGGGTTTTATCCGTTGATTCTTGCCTGAATACTCATTTTGAAAGAAACATTAGGAACAACAGTGCTTTCTGTCCAAATTTTAAAATTACAATTACTTTATAATCTTTGTAAGCATTTCCCTTGGTTATTTAACTGATGGTGTCCATTTAGGATCTTTTCCCTTTCAGCACAGACATCTGAGGGAACCTATGCCACATGGAAACTGAGCTTGCCTTGCCTTCAGAGGGAAATTGTAGTCAGAGTAGTAATAATTATTGGAAGCCCAATAATAACATTATTATTAACATTATTGAACATGTTATTGATAACTAGTATACCAGATTCCAAATAACATATGCCAGACATAATCCATGCCTGTAAGAGATTTTGTGATGGATTTAAAAAATGGGAAAAACTTTGGGAAAGTTTTTTTTCCTTCTGTCTCCAAATTCTATAATTAAAACATATCTCTTTATAAAAATCGCACATCTTTCATATATCTCTAAGGATCATACCCCTGAAACTTTCTTCTTGAGAAAGGAGAGGTCTCCTCTGTCACCAATGCCAAATTGACACTCAGTTTGCTGAAATATGTCAACTCATTTCAGAGGGAGGGGGATGATTTTTAACCAGATGAGTGGAAAAGTAATTTTTAAAGTTGGGGGCACATGAGGACCTCAAGGCCAGCTTCTTACTTGCTGAGCTTTAAGGTGTAAGTCCTGGGTCCCTCAGTGGAAGACCCTTCCTCTGTTCCAGACCAGAGTGTCCATCTCACGCCTGCTGAGACTGACCCTGGACCAGAAGAGGCGCTCGCCACCTCCTCTGGCGGCACCTTCCGCCTCTGCAGTGTGCCAGCTCTCGTGCAGGGCGGCATCATTCCCAGGGAACAGATCACCCTGGAAAGCGGTCTTTTTGTTTGAAGGCTTAGGCTGCATCTCTGCCATCCTCCTGCCCGGTCCACCAGGAACTGCTGTGCTCACATTTCAACAGTGCACGAGGGAGCATTTGTCTTGATAGTTTCCGAGATCATTCTGGCACCTGATTCCCCAATGTGATTTCCCTGGAGACTAGAGAAAGAGTAGGACAAATTGAGAAGTTGGCTGAAGGGCTAGAGGCTACAGTTTCTCTCTAGTAAAGAGCAGGTCACTATGTAAGACGCAGAACTCTGGGTGAATCCCTTGTGCTTCCAGGATCTCTCCCATGGACAAGGTTCTGAGCGGCTTTCTTTTTTAAAAATATATTTTATTAATTTTTCATAGAGAAGAAGGGAGAGAGCCAGAGAGCTAGAAACATCAATGAGAGAGATAACATCGACCAGCTGCCTCCTGCACCCCCCCCACTGGGATTGTGCCCGCAACCAATGTACATGCCCTTGACTGGAATTGAACCCGGGACCTTTCGGTCCGCAGGCTGATGCTATATCCACTGAGCCAAACCAGTTTTGGCAGAGTGGCTTGCTTTTATGTTGAGTTTTTCCCCAGAGCTGCTGAGGGGCCTGGGAGTCCACTGGCTCTGAAAGTCAGGCAGTAGGTAGGGCCTGACCTGGAAGCAGTTCTAAGGGTGAGAATGGCAGGACAGGGCAGAGACTGCCAAAACCCACTCACTTGATATGCTGGATCCTGTGGTTTCCAGACAGTGCCGTGGCGATGCATATCATCCCATCCATCCCCAAGGAATTCTCTTGAAGACTAGGTAGAGAAAGGATGGAGACACCAGAGTGAGCCAGTCAGGATAGAACACACCTCTGAAAGCAACAATGCATTATCTTGTGGGATAGTTCTGGAACTGATTTGTCCACAGGTGCCATAGCAACAGCAAGGTGGGCGTTTAATTCTGAGACGAGTTTATGAGAAGCCAGGTTGTACCATCTTAGTGCCATGGAGATTATAAGACCAAAAATGCTGATGTTAAGTGATTTACCTCTGACCTCTGCTAGGCAAAATGAACAAACTCATCCACAATATAGACTACTTAGAGGCCTGGTATATGAAAATTCATGCACTGGAGGGCGGGGGTCCCTCAGCCCAGCCTGCCCCCTCTTACAGTCTGGAAGCCCTCAGGGGTAGGAGGCAACCTAGTGATCAGGGGAAAGCGGCACCCCATCACACCTCTGCTGCTGCCACTGCTGGCAGTGCAAGCCTTGGCCGGGCCTAGGCAGCTGGGCAGCCACTATCCAAGGCTTGTTTGTGCCTCTGGCTTGCCCTTGATGACTGGGCAGCTGAGGGGACTGGGGGACTCTGGAGGCAGGCGCATGGAGTGGTCAGGCCTGCCTGGGGGTGAGCCCAGCCTTGCTGGGCCTGCCGCCCCAGTGAGACTGAGTGGACTGGTTGCTGCCATCTTGTGGCTGTGGGCGCCACCATCTTTGAGGATGGGGAAGTCAATATCCCCTCCTTATTGGCTGTGGGTGCTGCCATCTTTTGTGATGGCATGAGGGTCAATTAGCATATTCCCTCTTTACTAGATAAAATAGTAACCAGAACAGTCTGAACTGTTTCTTTTCTTTTAAAAAAAATATTTTTTTTTTTTACAGAGGAAGAGAGAGGGATAGAGAGAGGGAGAAATATCAATTGGCTACCTCTTGCACAATCCCTACTGGGGATGTGCCTGCAACCAAGGTATATGCCCTTGACCAGAATTGAACCTGGGACCCTTCAGTCCATAGGCCAATGCTCTATCTATTGAGCCAAACCAATTTCGGCCAATCTGAACTATTTCTATTCAGAGGGAAGCAGCTACAGAGAAAATCAAGAGCATCTTATCCCCTGGGGAGGTTCCAGCACAGAAGTCCTCTGCTCTGGAGGTGCAGATAGGGCTTGACAACTTACTTGAGTCTTCGGAGGCTTGAGTTGACCTTCAGAGCATTTGCCAGGGCTTTGGCTCCAGCCACCCCAATGGCGTTTCCTCTTAAGCTGTAAAAAAAAAAAAAAAAAGACAGGCCATGGTGCTGGTCAGTGTTCTCAATGCTTAGAGCGTTGGCCTATGCATTGAAAGATTGTAGATTTGATTCCCCTTCAGGGGTGCATACCAGGTTGCAGGGGTGCATCCCGGCCCCAGTTGGGGCACATGTGGGAGGCATCCAATCAATGTGTCTCACATCAATGTTTCTCCCTCTCTCACACCCCTCTCCCTTCCACTTTCTAAAAATCAGTGGGTGTGTAGGGGGGAAATACCCTTGGATGCGGGTTTAAAAATAAAGAAAGAAAAGACAGGAAATGTAAGGCACATGATAGCTGAGAGGTGAAAACGATGTTTCTTCAGATGAGTATGGGCTCCTGGTTAGAGGCAGTGTGGACTCAGCAACCACAGGGGATTAGGGTGCTCCTTCCTTACTCTCAAGCCAAAATGGAGTTTGGCTTCGGGGAGCAAGAAGGACACACTCGAGGGGTGAACGAGCCCAACCGGGGTGGTTTGTTGGTGCCTTCATTCTCCTTTTACATCCCAAAGGAAGAGCTGGGCTGAGACAGGAGAGGCAGCTCTCCACGCAGCAGTCCCTGTGTGCTCAGCATCGCAGACCCCTGGAGCAGGGGTGGCCTGGACATGCCTGAAAGCCCCACGGAGCCTGAGGCCGCAAACTCCTGGATCTCAAAGGCCAAGACCAGCGGACACAGACCACCCCAGGAACCCCTAAACAAGATCTTGGGACATGTTCAGCCCGGGCAAGACCAAGAAAAGCAGGTATTCAAGAAAAAGAGATCCAACAGTAGTGACTCCCGGGGATAAGGGGTGAAGTAGGAATGGGGAAGCTGGGGCATGCTTGATACTTAATTGCTTTGTGCATTTCTTGTAAATTGGTATTTTCCCTCCCTCCTCCATGTCTATTCATTTGAATCAACAGTTTGGTTTCTTTAGGCAAGAGACTTTAGCAGGAGGCTGGAATACTTACTCGAGAATCTCTAAGGTTCTGTTCACAGCCAGGGCCTCCCCCAGTGCCTGAGCCCCCGGCGCACCAATGGAGGCCACCTGGAGACTAAGAGGAAGGAGGTGCTGTCAGCGTAGTCAGGCCAGACAGGCTGCGCTCTCCAGCCCTCCTACCTGCCCTGGGCCCAGCTTCCCTTCACAGTCACCCTCCATTTTCACCACCCTTGACTTAGGGTTGAAAGGGACAAAATAGCACTGACAATGAGCTGTGATCTGTCCAAAGGATACTGCATAGCCTACCTACACAGTTTGTGCTTGGGGCATCTCTAGATACTATGGATATAGGAAATAGAGGTCGTCTCCTGGAAGGTTTGGAGGAGAACACTGCCTGTACCCCTAAATCTTGTTGTAACTGCAAGAGCGAGAGCACAGCTCCCTAGACTGGGAAACAAAAAAAATGGTTTTTCATGTGAAAGGAGGGTGAAGGGCTGGCTTCCTGGACTGCCGCGCGCGTCAGGACTTACTAGAGAGCAGTGAGGGCCGTGTTTGCCTTCAGCGCACTGGCCACTGCGCAGGCGCCTTCGTCCCCGATGGCGTTCTCCTGCAAACTGAGCGCAGAGGGTCAGCCTGGGCCGGCTCTCCGGCACTCTGTGCTGAGCCTGGACCTCCTGTCTGATTCAGACCACACACCCCGTACACGATACCCCCAGGGTCACCCCTGGCCTCCTAATGAGCATGCAGAGGGACCGGGGGTCTGGGCCATCAGAAGCAAACAAGCAAAGGGGCACACGGGAGCATTGTCAGCAAGCGCGTGAGACAGAAAGTGTGCTTTTCGAAGCCGCCTAGAACCCTGGGAGCCCTCTGACCAGGCCATTCGTGCTAGCGTGCAGTAATAATTTAACAGACGTTTGAGTGTATATTGTGCACTAGCAAGGCCGACTCCACCTTTTTGGAACTCGGGTGAGAAGACATGATTAAATCAGCAGTCACTGCAGGCCAGTCTTTCCCAAACTTCTCTCATGATGAGAAGCACCTGGTGCTCACCATCACAGAACTACAGATTCCTGAATCCCAACTAAGAAGTGCTAAACTAGAATTTTTGGGACATATAGGTAAAATTGTATCGCTTAGAGCACTAGTTGAGTATACAATTTTACCTATATGTTCCCCAAAATTCTAGTTTAGCACTTCTTAGTTGGGATTCAGGAATCTATAGTTTAACAACCCCACCAGGTGCTTCTCATCATGAGAGAAGTTTGGGAAACACTGCTGAAGGCTATGCACGGGCTGCAGTGTGGTCCCAGAGGCTGCCCAGAGAAACAGGCCTACACCAAAACCCAAAGGATGAGAGATGGGAGGGGCCTCGCACCTCTAAAGAACCCAAAGACATTGAGTCAAGTCTCTCGAGAGCCAGACGAGGCTGAGGAAACATTAAGGAAGCCGGTGTCTGGGGGTCCTAGAAGCCGTGCTAAAGGTTGGACTTCACTCGGCAGGCCCTGGGCAGCCACTGACGCTTCTCACCAGGACAGGGACAGATTGCATTTTGAAAAGATGCTGGCTAGTCGTGGATGGACTGGATGTGGAGGCTGCTTCAGTGGTGCAGGTGAGTGACGCTGGTGCCTGGGCAGTGGCCATGGGGGTGGGACACTGGGAAGAGAATCCACAGGACTTGGACATGAATCAGTAGGACTTGGAAAAGAGTAAGGATGATATTTCTACTTTTCACAGTTGGTTGGCTGGGTCTAGTCATAAGATGGGGGACCAAGAAGCAGGCTTGTGTGTGTGTCCGGGGGGTGGTCATTCAGGCAATCTGAAGTACCACTGAGACACCCAAAGGGAAGTGCAGAATGAGGAGTAGACACAGGGTCTGGAGCTCAGGAGAGAGGATGGGATATAGCTGTGGTGCCATAAGGACATCAAAGCCTAGAGAGGAGGAGAGCTTCCAGAAAAGAGATCGCACCTTCAGGGGAAGGTGGCCTGAGGTAGAACCCTGAGGAACACAAGTATGTCAGAGTCAAACAGAACTAGCCAGAGATGGAAGCTGAGAGAGACGTAGTCAGCGTCAAAAGGAGATGAAACTCAAAAGGTTACATCTGACCCAGCAAGTCCATTCCCAGGTGTGTCCACAGGAGGACTGAAAGCATACACAGAAACATGTACATGGATGTTCACAGCAGCATTATTCATAATAACCAAAAAGTGGAAACAAGCCCTATCCGGTTTGGCTCAGTGGATAGTCAGCCTGCAGACTGAAGGGTCCCGGGTTCCATTCCAGTCAAGGGCATATACCTGGTGTTCAGGCTCAATCCCCAGCAGGGGGCATGCAGGAGGCAGCCAATCAATGATTCTCTCATCATTGACGTTTCAGTCTCTCTCTCCCTCTCCCTTCCTCTCTCTGAAATCAATAATAAAAAAATTTTTTTAAAGTGGAAACAACCCAAATGTCGCACAACAGATGAAAGTCTTATCAGCCACGAAAAGGAATGAAGTACTGACTCATGCCACAACGTAGATGAACCTTGAAAACATATTAAATGAAAGCTGCCAGTCACGAAAGACCACATATTGTATCATTTCACTTATAGAAATGTGAAGAATGGGTGAATCCATAGAGATGGTAAATTAGTGGTTGCCCGGAATAGGGCAGAAGGGGGAGTGACCACTGATGGGTCTGAGCTTTCTTAGTGGGCGATAGAAACGTTCTCAATTTAGTTGTGCTGTTAGTTGCACGACTGTGACTATACTAGACACCGGTGAATGATGTTCCTCAATAAAGCTGTTACATATTTTTAAAAGCAGATGGGGATGGAAACATGCCTGCTAGTCTTAGGACAGAGGAGGCTGTGTGCTGAGGGCGTGAGCCTGAGCTTGGCGGCCCTGGGGTTTCAGAGGCCCCTGCCCCTATGGAGTCCCCACTTACTCGAGGCAGATGAGGCTCTGGTTGAACTGTAGTGCTTGTCCCAGGGCCTTGGCGGCGCCGGCCTGGATGAAGTTCCACTGCAGGCTAGGCAGACGCGGACCACGTGACCACGTGGCCCAGAGCAGAGCCCAGGAGGTCCTGGGCTCCAGGAAGAGGGGCTTCTCCCAGGAGAATTGACACCAGGGGATGGAGTCCCTGCGGGGTGTGTTCTAGAGGGACCACTGATGGGCAGAGCTCCTGCAACCCTCCCTAGCCTCAGCCCCAAGGAGTAACGTTTACTCCCTGGTCAGGGGTGGGTACGGGGTCAGGCTCAAATAGGACTCGGGATGGTCCCTGCCTAAAGCACGGGCACAGAGGCACAGCGGGGTTACCCACCTCCCACCCCATTGGTCTCTCTGTGGCTCAACCTCAGGAAGCAGAGCAGGGGGCAGGGCTGGTGGCCCTGCGAGTGACCACCTGCAGCCTGCCAGAGGCCCCAGAGGCCATGTAGGATGTGCCCAGAGCTGGCCTTGGTCTCCTGCTTCATCTGGTTTAGGGGAGCCCTGCAGCCCTGGGCAGGGGATGAGGTAGGTGGGGGCCTTGGGGACTCACTGAAGGGACATGAGGGCGTGGTTTTCTCTCACTGCCATGGCGATGGCCTGGGCACCCTGGTCATGGAGGAGGTTGGCTGTCAGGCTGGAAGGAGAGGAACAGGGGCAAGTGAGCGGAAGCTGACCATGGTGTGCCCTGTCCTTGCTCCCCGGGGAATCCAGACCAAGGACTGCATCGGCCCGCAGGATAGCCTAGCTCACGCTGTTGTAACAAATCTGACACCCCCAGGGGGAGGGGGCCCAAGCTCAGCTCAGTGAGGTTCCATGACGGGTCACCCACCAGGAGGAGGCAGAGGACTCCCTCCTGATTCCTGTGCTGTGCTGCCCCCACCATGTGGCCCCTTCCTCACGCTCGTCCATAGCAAAGGGCTGAGGGCCGGGGAGCAGGCGGAGAGTTGCCATTACTTCATCCTCATGTAATTTATGACATGACAGTGGGGGACTTGTGTCAGCGTCGCCTCCGGGGGCCAAGTCTCCTGGCTACCTCCTCCCAGCCACGTCCTTCTTCAGCCTTTTATAATGGCAAGAGTGACCAGGGCCCATCCGTCTCTGGGCTTTGCCTAGGTGAGGCCCTGGCATACAGGAGCCTTAGAAAGCCCAGCCTCCCCTAGCCCCTCACATACTCCAGGTTCTTCAGGGTGCTGTTGGTGCAGAGAGCTCGAGCCAGATCCTGGGCTCCCTCTGGGCTGATGGAGTTTTCTCGAAGGCTGAAAAAAGAGAAGACCCTGAGCTGCGGACCCAGGCAGAGGAGGCCTCTGGGGGAGACCAGCCCAGGTGTTCAGGCTTTTAGACCCAGAGAAACCTCCTGTGGGACCTGGACTTCCTGAGCGGTCACGTGGTGTGTGCCCCCAGTGAGCCCCGGTTCTGGTGGCTAAGCAGCCAAGTGTCTCCCTTTAGGACCTCCCAGGAGGACAGTCTAGGAGGAAGAGGATAAGGCAGTGGGACCTCGGAGCTGTGAGGGGCAGGCATGGGTGCTTGGGTGCCTAAGGGATGTGTATTTGGGCAGGGAGCAGCAGAACTAGCCAGCGGAGGGCCACAGCTGCACTGCCCTCCCAAGAGCAAGGTGAAGTGCAGGATGCCAGCTCCAGAACCAAGCCGCCCAGCCATAGGGGGAATGTGGACTTCCCAGCTCCAGCCTTTCCTTCCCAGTCCCTTCGGACCCATGACCAAAGGGATACCTGGTTGGAGAGGGAGGCTGGGACTTACTTGAGGCTGAGGAGGGTTCGGTTGGCGCAGAGGGCACCCATCAGCGCGGCCACCCCGCTGTCACTGATGGAATTGCTCTGCAGGCTGAAGACAGAGGAGAGGGCACATTTGGCGTGGCTGTCTCAGGACTCGGAGGGAGCCATCAGTCCAGCCGAAACACTAAGCTCGACAGGGAGCTGGGGGAGGGCGCTACCTGAGGCAGGTGCCATGCCACATTGTGTTTTCTTCATCATCCCACTTCCTCTCTCATCCCCACCGTCCAGCCCCTGCTAGGTCAGGGCAGGTGGGTATAGCACAACGAGCCCCAGAGTTTGTCTCTGCTTTGGTTTGGTGGCTCCAAAAGGCATTAGAAGAGGGGGCATGTGCTGAAACCAGTTTGTCTCAGTGGATAGAGCGTCAGCCTGTGGACTCAAGGGGCCCAGGTTCGATTCCGGTCAAGGGCATGTACCTTGGTTGCGGGCACATCCCCAGTAGGGGGTGTGCAGGAGGCAGCTGGTTGATGTCTTTCTCTCTATCCTTCTCTCTTCCTCTCTGTAAAAAATCAACATATATATATATATATATATATATATATATATATATATAGATATATATTGATATATATTGATATATATTGATATATATGGAGAGAGAGAGAGAGAGAGAGAGAGAGAGAGAGAGAGAGAGAGAGAGAGAGAGAAAGAAAGGAGGGGCCATGTGCTGTGTCTGCAGCCCCCAGAGAAAGTGGCACAGTTGAGCCTCGCCTGTGTGGGAGCAGTGCCAAGCACCCCCCCCCCCCCAAAGCCACTGCTGCTGACCCTTTCTTTAGCTTCCTGCTCTAACTTCTAAAGGGCTTTCAGTGCTTGTTGTCACCCTGAAAACACCACCCCCTACTGTCCAGGGAAATGGAGCTGGTGTGGTAGGATGACACAGGTGGGGTAGGCATGGAGGGAGACGCTGAGATCGTAGCATGCCCAGGGTTGGGGGTTGGTTGGGTTCTGGCAGGGAAGTGGACCTGACTGACAGCCCTCCTTCCAGGACCCACCCACCTACTGGATAGGAAACCCTCTGCCCACAGCCACCCCTGGAGGGTGGTCAGACAGACTCACTCCAGACTCTCCAGGCCCTGGTTCACCTTCAGGGCCTCAGCCAGGGCCTTGGCACCTCCATCGCCAATGCTATTACTGGAGAACCTGTAAGAGACGGGACACGGTGATCCGGCCTCCTGGAACAGCTGGGCAGGGTAGGGCTGTCTCTGTCGTCTCTAGGGTGCCAGCCAGTACAGAATCTCTCCTGCTGGAGGCTGGTTGGCAGTGACCTCTGTAAGTGACCTCCCGCTTCCTGTCAGAGATGAAGTTAGCAAAGTCCTTGGCTCCCTGGCAGGGGAGCAGGGGCCAGGAGGCAAGACTAACTCTTTAGTGAGAGGTATTTGTGGTATGTTATGTGAAGGTGGCTAGGAAATGCTGTTTTCTTCTGCTAGTCGAGAAGGCAGTAAGTGTGAGCCTGAAACAGTTGTGGCTCACTCAGTCCTGTGAATCTGGATCTCCATTCTCCTGGTCCATTGTTTGGAGTCCAAAGCCAGTTATTCTGCGCCTATACATTTATTCATGCATCCACTCACACACTTACCCATCCACCCACCCATCCATCTACTCAAATACCCATCCATCCATCCATCCATCCATCCATTCATCCCTCCCTCCCCATGCTCACAATTATTTATGATACGCTGGGCATTGTGTTAGACACTGAGGATACCAATTTGGCCCTTCTGCATTTCTCACATGAGCTCCTTCAGAGTCCTGTTCTGCTTCAGGGCATCTGCCAGGTGCTGGGCTCCCGTGGGCCCGATGGTGTTCTTCTGCAGGCTGTGGGAGAGGAGAGGGGCCCTTTAGCAAAGCTGGTCACAGCCATTCCAGGCCAAGAACACTCTGGTTCAAGGTGAGAGGCCAGAGACGGCGGAGCGCTGAGTGCCAGCTCCGTGTATCACAGCCTGGGGGAGGGGCCTCCGGGAAAGGTCTGCTGACTGTTGCCAAAGTGGTGCCAACAGACTGACATTCTGTGCAGATGAAGAGGCAAGGGCAGCCAGGCCCTCCTTTGTCAGAAACTGGAAAGCAGTGACCACTAGACACTGGTAATATCCAGCAACCTCCTGTGGGGACTTCCACATACAATTACCACCGCCCCCCCGCCCATCCAACCCTCCCAACCCTCTCAACCCTCCACAGTCTACGTCCATGTAGACCAACCAGCAGCCTTCCTCCCAACCACACAGTCTTCCCTGGGGCAGTCCTTCCTCCACTTGGGTTCCTCTCCTCCAAAAGCTACTTCCTCTTTCATTAAACCTGGAGGAGGGGATGTTACAGGAGAACCCCTGTGCTCATCCCAGAAGGACAGACAGGCCAGGGCCTTTTCTGTGTGAGGCTAAATGCAGTCTAAAAAGAGAATTTCCCCTGGTCCCAAAAGGTAACTTTTCTTATTGTAATTGTAAATCCTTTCCCTGTCCCTTTGAGAAATACGTAAATCTTTCTATTGTTGTTTTTTGTTAATCCTCATCAGAGGATATTTTTCCCATTACTTTTCAAAGAGAGTGGAAGGAGGAAGACAGAGAGAGAGAGAGAGAAAGAAAGAAACATTGATGTGAGAGAGACACATCAACTGGTTGCCTCCCCCACATGCCCCAACCAGGGACAGCCCAGGCACGTGGCCTTGACTGGGAATCCAGCCTGTGACCCTTTGTGTGTGGGCCAATGCTCTAACCACTGACCAACGAGGGGCGAGAAGTATATAAATCTTTTAAGAAGCTAAATAAAAACTTCTTGCCAGATTTACAGCTTTGGAATGTCTTTTGTAAGGCCCTTGGAATCATCTCTTTGAAATGCACACATCAAAGAAGATACACAGACCCCAAGTTGTAAGAGCTTTCTTGTCATGAAGACATAAAGTTTTAACTTTCCTTTGGCTAAAGGCAGTTAACAAACACAGATGGCTGTCCCAGCTACCAGGCTAATTTAGGATAAACCATGTGTGACGAACACTGCTGCACAGTTCTCTCACTTGAGGACAAGTCGTTTATCTTGGAAACATGTATGTAATGGGCTGTGTCTGTTGGCTATGGAAAAGGGTCTGATTCACTTCTGTCTTTGCAATCTCATCAGCAGATTGCCTGTGATGTACATTACAGCCTAGCTGAGTGTTTATTCAAATAATAAAGCTGCTTTGTTCTTCCGCACATTTGTGGAGAGGGTTTTCTGGATTGGCAGGAGGTTTTATTGTTAATTTTTTGCCCAACACCTCCTTCTCTGGGAAAGCAACGGACATCACGTTTTCCAGGGGCCAACCAGACAGGTCAGAAAGCCTCAGGACTTTGCCCATCCATCCCTCCTTGCAAAACACAGCCAGAGAGGTCCTTGGAGGAGGAGATGAGAGAGGACAAAGGAGACTATCCGATGGCCAGCATGTCCACTCACTGCATCACGGAGAGGGTCCGGTTGGCCGCCAAAGCCTCAGCCACAAACTTGGCACCATCATCCTTGATCCTGTTACTCTGGAGGCTGTGGAGGCAACGAAGAGGCGCGTCACCATGGAGCACACGAGGGCACCCAACGGTGGCCTGATTCCCACCACAGTGTCACCCATGCTCAAGGGAGGGCAGCAGCTAAGCTCAGTGACAGGGGCTTTAGCCACTATATGCCCTCCATGCACACCACACAGGAACCGGGGAACAATTGGCCTTTCCCTCTGCTGCTCCGGACGTAGGTTTCCCTCTGGGTCTCTAAGCACTTGCCTGCTGACTGGGGACAAGGTGCCCATGGTATCTGGATAACAATAGCTTGGTCATCCATGACCCCAGTTACAGCCAAAAGTCATAGCCCCCACGTGTTATCAAGGATGTAGAGGGATCAGAAATCACCCACTGCGGGTGGGAATGTAAGATGGTGTGGCCACTGAAGAAAACAGACGGGTGGTTCCTCAAAAGGTTAAACATAGAGTTACCATGTGACCAGCAAATTCTACTTGAAGGCATCTACCCACGAGAAATAAAAACAGTTCTTCAAATACTGTACACAAGTGTGTACAGCACCATTATGTACAACCCAAATGTCCAGTAACTGATGAATATTACTTAGCAGTAAAATTGAATGAACTATTGGTACATACTAACATGTGGATGAACCTTGAAAACATGTTTGGTGAAAGAAGACAGACATAAAAGGTCTTAGTGTATGCTTCTGTGTATATGAAATATCCAGGATAGGCAAATGCATTGAGCAGAAAGCAGACTGGTGGTGGTTGAAGGGAGGGGGGAATGGGAAGTGACTGCTGATGGGCACAGGGTCTTCTTTTAGGGTGCCAAAAACATTTTAGAACTAGACAGAGGTGACAGTTGCATAATTGTGAATGTATTATGTGCCATTGAACTGCACACTTCAAAATGGTGAATTTTGTGGGAATTTTCACCTCAATATAAGAAAATGAAAACAGGGAGAGGTAGCTGCCATGGTGAGGAGAGAGATGGATTAGGCGACCACGCAGCCAGAATAAAGATAAACGGAGAATTCAAAAATAAAGAAAATGAAGCTTCCCCTAAGAAAATAGAAGAGACATCAAGTTGCCTGGTGAAAAGAACATGGATTAGCCATGGTCAAAACAAGAGAGGCTGAATCAACTCAGACACCCCCCGAAATGCTATCTTTGCAATCTTCATTAAGCTAATAAAAAATGGGTTCCGCCCTGGCCGATGTTGCTAAGTGGTTGCATCGTGCTGAGTAGAAAGGACACTACTGATGTCCTTAAAAGCTAGAGTGGAAAGGACACTCTGAAGGTGTGCTGGTTTGATTCTGGGTCAAGGGCATGTACCTGGGTTGCAGGTTAGCTCCCTGTCCCAAGTAGGGCAAATGCAGGAGGCAACTGGTTGATGGGTCTCACATCGATGTTTCCCTCCCTCGTTCCTTCCCTCCTTTCTTCCTTCCCTCCCTCCCTCCCTTCTGCTCTCTCTGAAAAGTAATGAGAAAAAATATCCTCAGGTGAAGATAAACAACAAAAAAGTTTCCGATGTGGAATTGTTACTCAGAACATCTATACAAGGTGCTTACACAGACTACAATACTCTGAAATTGGTCCCTAGGAAAGACGTTCTTACAGGAAATAAGCCATATTGTGATGCACCAACTCAGAAGCAATGAATTTCTAGGATAAAATCAAGTCTTATAATTTTTAATTGTAAAATATATAACTGAAGCATAAACAAACAAATAAATACATAAAACCAAAACAAAATGGTGGTACATATTCAACTTAGAATGGATACAACTACTAGCTCCTAAAAGGAGCACAGCAAACCACACCAAACTAGAAGAATCTTCTGGAATATGGGCTTTTAATGTATTGGAAAACATCTCAGGGGAACATTCCGACACCATGGTCTTGGGAATTTCTCGTTCAATGGAGGGCGAGAGGTTTTCCTCACAGATTATTTTGCTCCTCCACCTCTACATACCTCTACCCATCTCTATTCCTTGCTCAGGCCATAATCACAAGCACAATAACCAGGGAGGAGTTGGGATTTGGAAACTTGCTTAGGATACAAGATCCTGTGGTATCCACTGGGTGGGAGCTGGTGTCTGATCCCCACATTTTCAGTCACCTACTCCATGGGTGGCCCCTGAGGGGAAGGATTTCAGGGGGAGGCAGGTGAGACGTACCTCAGAGAGGCCAGGGTGCGGTTAATCTTCAGAGCATCTGCCAAGGCCTTGGCCCCCTGAGGTCCAATAGAGTTACAGCGGAGGCTGGCGGAAGGAAGAGAGAAACAACCATTCTCTGTCATCCAGTGCCCAGGGAGGGAAGGAGGAGGAGAAGTTACACTGACCTTTAAATCTGCTTTCTGAACAGAATGGGTCAGGGTTTAGGATTTCATGTTTGGTGTAAGTGGGACAGAGATTTTTATGTAGGCAAACAAGGAAGGAGTTTCTGAAGGGGCCCCATGTGATGGGAAGAAGAACAGAGGATCTGATGCACTAGTGGACTTGAGCCATGGACGGAGAGGAGGAGGGTAACTCCGAGTTCAGGCCTGAAATTCTGGTGCTTCCTGGGTGAGTCTGGATAGCTGAGTGGAACTGTGACATTGTTTGCTCAGCTATTCTTCCAGTCCCCCATGGGAGAGCGCAGTCAAGGGGACTTCACAACATGCCTCCCAAGTGTTCCCTGTCCCTGTGGTGAAAGACTGGCCTTCGGTGTCATACTTACTCTAGAGAAGTCAGACTTCTGTTGACCAGGAGGGATCTGGCCAGAGCTTTGGCCCCTTTGTTACTGATCTGGTTCTCAGCCAAGCTGCCCAAGGAGAAGCAGAAAAGTGATTATGGCAAGTCTATAAATATCAGCTCCAGGCTTATGATCCAAACCCCTCAGCCTCACCAGCATCATTAGAGGCGGAAATCAGGTGAGCCCTGGAACAGAATGCCAGGCCCATAAAAGTCTCTGAGCCAAGCAAGTAGGACTAGAGTAGGCAGACAGACCTGCACAATGGCAAAAAGTTCTAGGGAAGCTTGGTCAGAATTTAGCACAACAACTGGAACATAGCACAGGAATGAGGGCAGGCGTTTACAGTGGTGTGCTAGAAAACTGGCTCTCAGGAAACACCAGAACACATCAACCCTGATTTGTAACATGGGCCAGTTTCCATGGTGTAAATACTCCCACCACGGCCGATTGCAAGCACTCACAGCTCTGATGAACTGATTTTACCCTCCTTAGGCACAGAGCTGTCTGTACAAGATCACATGGAGCCTGCTACTCTAACCACTGCCCTCAATAATTGTTTTGCTCCTGACTCATTCCACATTTTTATTTTCTCAGGTATAGATTATTCCAGAACCCAAAGCCTTGTGTGAGAATAAAAAATTATTCTTAGGTCCTGTTCTCCAAACCCACCTCCCTAATTCTCTGAAAGCTGCTCTTAGGTCATGGAATCATTTCAAGTAAAAACAAGGGTGTTACTCAAACTTGGAAATTATTACAGGAGAGATTTTATAAGCTCATAGATCTGTCCTGCAGTCGGCATATAAACTTTAATCTAGCTAATACTGGTCTGGCTCAGTAGATAGAGTGGACTGAAAGGTCCAAGGTTCAATTCCGGTCAAGGGCATGTACCTTGGTTGTGGGCACATCCCCAGTAGGGGGTGTGTAGGAGGCAGCTGGTCGATGTTTCTCTCTCATTGATGTTTCTAGCTCTCTATCCCTTTCTCTTCCTCTCTGTAAAAAAATCAATAAAATATATATTTTTTTAAATTTTTAATTAACTTACATTAAAGATGCAATATTTAAATTTAAAAATATTTTTTATTGATTTGTAAGAAAGAGAAGAAAGGGGGAAGAGAGAAGGAGGAGAGGGAGGAGAGGAGCGGAGAGGAGAGAGAGACATCGATTTGTTGTTCCACTTATTTTGCATTCATTGGTTGATTCTTGTATGTGCCCTGACTGTGGATTGAACCCACAACTTTGGCATGTCAGGACAATCAGGCTCTAATGTTTTTAATTAAAAAATTTTTTTAAATTATATTTTATTTAAAGATAGAATCCTGTGCCCAGAACACTATATGAAGGCAAACTGTGAGAAAATTGGGCCTGGTGCCATGTCGGTACATATAGTATTTGGAGAAATAGCCTCTGCTCTTCACGATATCCTTCCTCTTTTCTTACAGATGACTACCTGAGCCCCTGGAACTTTCTGGAATGGGTGGAAACAAGCTGCTGCATGCTCCAGGCACCTCTCTTTGAAAGTATCACCAGCTAGTTGAGCAGAAAGGAAGATGGGAAAGGAGCCCTCAGACCCAGAGAGACCGGTAGGTGTCCTGGGCGGAGTCTCCTGGGTCAGTATTACCTGATTCTCTGAATGCGACAGTCCTTTCCACTCAGCACACTGCCCAGCAGCTCCATCACGGGGTCCTGGAACTGGTTGGTGTCCAGCCTGGTCGGGAGGAACTGCAATAGTGAGTGGTACCACCTCCCGTAGGCAGGTGGATGAAGCCTGGCTGGCACAGGAAGGCAAGAGGGGCACTACGCTCAGACACCCAGGCTAGGATCCCCTCCCTCTCGCCATTCCAATGTAGCTCCCATCATACGGCCCAGAGGTGTAGGACAGCACACCCCCCATGCTCACAGCTTCCCTACAAAGGAACTGGGAGGCTCAGTGGCATGAGCCCTGCGGTTTCTATCCGGGGCCTTTGCTAGTGCTCCTCCTTCTGAGGACATGGAAGCTGCTCTCAGGTCCCGAATGGCCCTGGCCCTGTGCCCTTCCCTCAGCCCCTGTTAAGGTCCGGAGCAGTGGACAGAAGATGTGCTGAGAATGGGGAGTGTGGGTGTGGCTTCTGTCAGCACTGGGATGGTTCTCAGGGTGTTATGGGTTGAATAGTGTCTCCCCGAAAGATATGTTGGCATTCTAATCCCCCAGTGGCTCAAGAGTGTGACTTGACTTGGAAATAAGATTGTGGCAGACGTAATTAGATGAGGTCATCCTAGAGGAGGTGGGCCTGCCATCCCATACAGCTGATGTCCTTACAAGCGAGGAAAGCCCTGTGTGAAGACAGGCACGGAGAAGGTAGCCAGGTGACCGCAGAGGCGGAGACTGCAGTGGGGTATTTATAAGCCAAGGGTTGCCGGCAACACCACAAGCTAGAGAGGCAGGAAGGGTCCTCCCTGAAGGTGTCAGAGGGAGCACAGCCCTGTCAACACCTTGAATTTGGACTCTGCCTCCAGAACTTGGGAGAATACATTTCTATTGCTTTAAGCCTCCCAGTGTGTGGACCTTTGTTACCGCAGCCCCCACACATGGCTGCAGAGGCTGCTGGTGGAGGGGGAGTACTTCCCAGGTCCCCTCCTCTCTCCTCTCCAACACCCCTGCCCACACCACCCTGGTGCCCACCTCAGACTCCGGCAGTAGAGCAGCTGGGGCAGCAGGCTCTGGAGGACACCCTGACTGAGGCTCAGGGACAGGTTGGCCTCCTGGGCGCAGGCATCGGACACCTGCAGGAGGTAGGCCAGGGCAGCCCGGTGCAGGGGGCCGGTCAGCCGGGCCAGGTCCCCGCTCCCCAGGGCCTCCTCCACGCTGCGGGCCAGCTCTGTGTGCTGCAGCTCGTGCAAGCAGTGCAGCACGTTGACGGCCCGGGCACAGACTACCGTGGTGGGCTGTAGGCAGCCCTGCAGGAGCTGGGCCGCCTGCACCCGGGAGCCCTGATGCTCGCCCGGGGCCAACAGGGAGCCCGCCAGCAGGTCATTGACCCTTGGAGATAAGAGGCCGGAGAGGAAGCGAAGGAACACGTCCAGCCGCCCGTCCTCGGCCTGCATGGCCCGCTGGGCCGCGCTCCTGAAGTGCGTGAGGAAGCCCAGCCGGGGCCAGGACACGCCGCCCTCGGTGAAGAGGTCGAAGATGGCCCTCTTGGACGCGCTGTGGTAGTACGCGGCCCCCAGGAACTCCTGCAGAGACAGGTGGGCGAAGCAGTAGGCTGGCGAGGAGGCCAGGGTCTCCTCGCGCTGCAGGAAGTGGCTGCACACGGCGCTCTGCAGCAGAGCGAGGTCCACGCCAAACGCCTTCAGGTCCGGCTCGTAGAACACGTACTTCCTCCTGACCAGCCCGTGGAAGGCCAGCCGGCCCAGCGCGCCCACCATCCTGCGGCCGCTGTGCGCCAGCTGCTCCATCCGAGGGCTCCCCTTGCCCTTCTCCTGCCCCTCGCCGCCCAGGGCCATCCGGAAGTACCAGGCGTAGAGCTCGCACAGGGTCCTGGGAGGCCACAGCCCCGCGTCCTGGGGCCCCCGCCAGTGGCGGCACGCGTGGCCCAGCGCCAGGCCCGCCAGCCGGCAGAAGGCCGGGATGGTGCACATCAGGTACAGCGCCCTGTGGGCCCGGACCTGGCCCAGGGCCCAGTCCAGGAGGGCCTGGTCCTCAGGGAACATCTGCTCCAGACACCCTTTGACCTCCTCTTCGTCGAAGCCCCGGATCTCCGTCATCCGGTCCACCAGGCCCCCGGGGATCTGGCCGGCGGCGCCGGGCCGGGCGGTGACCCAGACCGAAACCTCCGGGAAGAGGTTGCCCCGGATGATGTTGGTGATCAGGTGGTCCACCTGGATCTCCTTCTGGGGGTCGGTGCAGGCCGCGGTGTTGGAGAAGTCCAGCGGGGTCTTGCACTCGTCCAGGCCGTCCAGGATGAGGAGCACCTTGGCCGGGGCCGCCCCCTCCAGGCCGGCCGCTCCGGCCTGTGGGAAGGCGCAGCGGACGAGCCTGTCGGCCGACAGCTTCTCGTGGGTGTTGAGGTCCCGGAACGTCAGCGGCAGCACCAGGGAGAAGTCCTTGCCCACCTGCCCCCGGGCCCAGAGGCAGACGAAGTGCCTCACCAGCGTGGTCTTGCCCACCCCGGCCAGCCCGATGGTGATGGAGACGCGGGGCGGGATGGACACCCGCGACAGAGGCAGGAAGAGCCTGCTGAGGGCGATGGTCCTGGCCGGGCGCCAGGCCCCGCGCGTGGCCTCCACCTGCGTGAAGTCGTGCTCCCTCAGCTGCAGGTCCATCAGGCCCTCCACCAGCAAGAGGTTGGTTAGCCTGGGCGGGGGGCCGCCCGGCTCCAGGCCGCCTCCTGCCCTGCTCAGAAGGGCCTCCTGGTGTCTCTGTATCCGCGAGTCTGTGGATGGAGGTCGGAGGGGAGAGTTGGGGAGGGCAGGTGTAAAGAAGGAAAGTGGGGAGGCAGATGAAAGGCAGGGGCAGGAGGTAGGATGAGGGGGGTGAAAGGAGAGGAGGGGGAAAGGCTTGGGGACCCCCCCCTCCATCTGCCTACCGTTGCCGGGAGGCCCCCGTGGAGAGTCGGGTGTCCTGTCAGGGGTCTGTGGGGCCTGGGAGCCCTGACAGCCTTTCCCGGCCAGCAGGTCCATGAGGGCTTTCACCTGCTCGGCCGGAGAGCCGGTAGCGTGGCCCTGGCCAGCCTCTCCGCCCATCCGCATCTCCTGCTTCCTCATGGGGTCCGGGATCACTGCCAGGAGCTGCGAAGAGAAAGCCTGAGCCTGCTGCCTGCTGTCTCCCCGCCCAGTGGCCTGGGACAGGTAAGGAGCCGCCAAGGATGTGTGAGGACTCACCCTCTGGGGACCCACCCTTTCTCCTCTCCCAGCTGGTGGCCCACAGCCTGGCCTCGGGGAAGAGGCTGGAGGGGCTGGTTGCTCCTGGATGCTGAGGATAATGGTTCCTCAGCCACAAGCATCGGTCAGATGCAGGGGCCCAAACGGATAAGAGCCCAGGCCCAGGCTGGAGCATGAGCTCTGCCGCTTACCGGCTGTGTGACACCGGGCAGGCTTCCGGAGCCTTCCGTGCTGGGGTGTCATTGGTACCTGGAAACGGCAGAGCGGTCAGGAGCAGGCCCACTCACAAGAAGGGAAGAATGAAAGGCTACATGCGGTATGACTTCAACTCTGAGCTATTCTGGAAAAGGCAAAACTATGGGAACAGTGGAAAGATCAATGGTTGCCAGGGGCTGGGGTGAGGAGGGAGGGATGAGTCGGTGAGCACAGAGAATTTTTAGGGCCGCGAATCTCCTCTGTGTGATAGACCACGGCGGTGGATTCATGTCATCATACGTGTGTCCAAGTGCACCCTAATGTAACCTATGAGCTCGGGTGATAACGGCGTGTCAGTGTAGGTTCACCCGTGTAACCAAAGTGTCACTCTGGGTGGTGGTGGTGGGGGGTGTCCAAAGTGGGGGAGGGTGCATGTAGGGGGCAAGGAGGTGTATGGAAATCTCTGGACTTAATTTTTCTCTCCATTTGTCGGTAAACCTAAAACTGCCCTAATGACGAAAGTCTAAGGAACAAAGAGTAAATGGAGGGGTTTAAAGAGAGGGGAAAGTTGGTTCTCAGAGCAGTTGTATAGCTTCGTGTCTTATTCTGGTTTCTGGGTAAGAGCAGGCGCTCCTGACCCACAGGCAGCACAGTTTCTGCTGGGGGTAGTGACCAGAGGCGCTGAGAGGCAAACCATGTCTGAGTCCCACCCACTCACATTCCTTTTCCTCTGTGTTTCGCCTCCCCATCCCCTTGTGTATCTCTCCCTCAGCTAAGGTAGATACTTGAGGACCCAGAGCCACCCCCATCTCACCCCTCTTCTCACCTGTAGCGGGCAGGATGTCCGGCCCATAGCCCACCCAGGGCAGCTCCTCCAGCAGGGCCTTAGGAACTCAGGGGCCGGGGGTTGGCCATCCCTCCTCCATGGCTCTAGAAGAGAAAACAGGACTCAGGGCTGGGCAGAAGCCACACCCACTGCTTTGGGTGTAGCAGCTCATTAAACCAGGTGCAGCTATGCCTTCCAGCCCTGCGTTCCCTGGGTCTCGGTGTTATTCACTTAAAAGGAGGTTTTGCTGCCTACAGCCCCAAGAGCCCAACGCACTCCCCAGCCTTGAATTTGTATTGGGGTTCCTGGCATTTTAACTCAGGATGAACCTTTTCACCTGGAAAATGCTAAACAAAGCTTAGCAACAAGTAAGATAGCATTTCCCAGCCATTTGGTTCATAGTGGTGATGGAGAGGTGAGTGTGGCAAATCTGAGATAGATGCACTAATCTGGGAACATTAGAAATAGGCCAGGGCTAGGCCACTCATACATCTGAGACCTTCTGGCTGTTCTCTTATTCTTCTAAATGTCAAAACTAAAGTGGGGGGGGGAGGGAACTAAAGGGGAAAAAGACAGATGAGATTTTTATTGAAATCACATCAATGTGGGTATGGTTGAGGGCTTTCTTTAGATCCTTTAGTATATTATTTCAGTTAGTGTATGCTTAATTTCTGATTGGTCCTTTTCCTTTTCCTATTTATTTATTTATTTATTTTATTTATTTTATTTTTTTTTGCATTCTCACTTAAGAGAATTTCTCCCTGAAAGTCTCACTAAGTTCCTTGGAGGTTTTTAGAAAATTCTTGAGTAACCTTATAACTGGTTTTGAACTCTATTTCCAGTATTTTGCTTCTTTCATTTCTTCATTTGTGACATGTCTCTTTGTCTCTGCATTTTGGCTGCTTCCCTGTGTTTATTTCTATGTATTGAGTGGAGCTGCTAAGTCTCCTTGAGTTGATAGAGTGGCCTGTGTAGTAGGTGTCCTATAGGGCCCAGTAAATCAGCCTCCCAAATCATTACCTGAGCTGGGAGCTCTAAGTGTACCCCTTTGTGAGCACAGTCTTGTCGTAGTTGAGACTTGATGGCTGTTGGTGTCACTGGGAGGAATTGACCTCCAGGCCAATTGGCTGTGAGGACCAGCTGCGACTACAGTTGGAGAGCTGCTGTGCAGGGGACACCCTTATGGAGCAGAACTTGTTTTAATGGGGCTTTGGTGCCCACTGAGTCTGCCCCTTGAATGTGTCACTTGTGGATGTGAATAGTTGTAATCTGATATGGTCTCACACTGACCACTGGGTACACTGGCTCTTGGGTCAGACACTACCTAGGGCCACCCAGCAGGAGCTACAAGAGAGATCTGCAGATTCCTCCTCTTTGTATCGGATTTGAAAGTGCCCAGGTGTGGCCCAGCTGTGAAGCAAAGCAGGCTGGTGTCGGGTCTTAGGCCTTTTATTGATAGGGTTGGAGCTCTCTGACCCAGTTGCAGTTTGTTTGACAGGTTTTTAGCCTGAGAAAGGACAGGCTATTCATATGTAAAAGCTGCTGCCCACAGCTTGGGTGGGGTTGTACATTGGATGGGGTGGGATCTAAGGGAATCACCAGGGCGGAGCAAACAGAAATGGCTGCTAGTCAGCCCTGGACCAGACGGGTCCCAGCATAGGAACAATGACCGCTGTGACCACCTCCGTCTGAAAGAAAGCCACCTCCGAGTTCCTGCCTGATGCCAGACAGTCCAGTTTCTCCTTGTATGTGTCCGGGTCCCCCGAGCCTTGCCTGGCACTGGAGCTCAGAGAAAGCAGGAGCTTGTAAGTTTATCCAGCCTTTTAAGAGCAGCAATTGGGTCTCTAGCAGCCTGAGTGCCACTCAGCCCCAATCTGCACTGGTTTTTACAGCCCATAGCCCTTACTGCCTATAAGGATTTCTTTTCCCAGCTCTGGGACCCTGGGCTGGGCATCTGGTACGGGGTTGGGAAGCCCTTGCTCCTCCAGGCAGCTTCCATAGAGATGATCTCCCTCCCAATGAAAAAAACAAACAAACATCACATGTGGGTGCCAGACCAGCTTGTTAGCACCTCCCCACCTCCTACCAGTCTCAGTGTGCTTTCTTCTTACTTCTCTAGTTGTAGGATTTCCATTCAGCCAGCTTTCTGGTGGGTCTGGATAATGGTTGTTCTGTATTTTAGTTGTAATTTTGATGGGGTTGTGAGAGGCAGTGAGTATATTGCCTACACCACCATCTTGGTTCTCCTCTCTTATTTCCTTTTGTGGTTACCATGAGGTTACATTTAACATCTTTTTTTTTTTTTTAATATATTTTATTATTTTGTACAGAGAGGAAGGGAGAGAGATTGAGAGCTAGAAACATCGATGAGAGAGAGAATCATCGACCAGTTGCCTCTTGCACACCCCCTACTGGGGATATGCCCGCAACCAAGGTACATGCCCTTGACCGGAATCGAACCCGGGACCTTTCAGTCCCCAAGCCTACGCTCTATCCATTGAGCCAAACCGGTCTTGGCACATTTAACATCTTAAAGTGATAACACTCTAGTTCAAATTTATATCAGCTTAATTTCAATAACATACAAAACTTTTTTCCTTTTCATCCCTGTCCCTACACGTTTTGGTTGTTAATGTTACTGAGTTACACCTGTATACATTGTGTGCCCCAAAACATAAACTAATAATTCCTTTAAATTTATTAGTCTCTTAAATTAAGTAGAAAAAGAAATTCAGAGTTACAAACCAAAGTTATAGTAATACTAGTGGCCCCGTGCATGAAATTCATGCATAGGGGTGAGAGGGTGTTCCTCAGCCCGGCCTGAATCCTCTCCAGTCTGGGACCCTCAGACATCTGTCTCACAATCCGGGACCACTGGCTCATAACTGCTGACCTGCCTGATTGCCTCTAACCACTCTACATGTCAGCCTGCTCACTCTCAACTGTCCCACCACTGGTCTTCTTGCCCCCAACTGCCCCCACCCCCGCCGGCCTGCTTACCCCCAACTGCTCCCTCTCCCCCGCTGGCTTGATCACCCTCAGCTGCCCTCCTCTCCTTGCCCCTAACCACTCCTGCCTCGGCCCCGCCACCATGGCTTTGACCAGAAGGACGTCCAGAAGTCCTCCCGGTCTAATTAGCATATTACCCTTTTATTAGTATAGATTAGTTTGAACATTAATAATCAGGGTGTGTTTTTTTAATGTAATAATCTCTTAAGTCATGTAGAAAACAAAAAGTATACTTAAAAACCATTGATACAACTAGATTTAAGAGTTTGGCAATGTAGCAGGATACAAAATCAATACCCCAAAATTGATTGCTTTTTTATACACCAATATGAATTCTCGGACAGAGAAACTAAACAATCTTATTTGTTATTGCAAAAAAGTTTAGATACTTAGGAATAAACAATCAAGGAGGTAAAAGACTTGTTCTTGGAAAACTACAGGGTTTTGAAAAGTGAGATAGAGGAAGATATAAACAAGTGGAAAAATATACCGCATTCATGGATTGGTAGAACTAACATTATTAAAATGTCAGCACTACCTATTCAATGCAATCCCTATTGAAATACCAATAGCATATTTCACAGATCTAGAACAAAACTCTCCAAAAATGTATATGGAACCAAAAAAGAACCCAAATATCTATAGCAATCTTGAAAAAGAAAAACAAAGTTGGAGGAATCACAATATCAGATATCAAGTTATTCTACAAAGCCACCATAATCAAAACAGCCTTGTACTGGCACAAGGACAGGCACATAGATCAATGAAACAGAACAGAGAACCCAGAAATCAATCCAAACCATTACACTCAATTAATATTTGGCAAAGGAGGTAAGAGCATACAATGGAGTAAAGACAGTCTTTTCAATAAATGGTGTTGGAAAAATTGGACAGATACATGAAAAAAAAAAAAAAAAAGAAGAAGAAAGAAAGAAAGAGAAAGAAACTAGACCACTAACTTACACTATACATAAGAATAAACTCAAAATGGATAAAAGACTTAAACATAAGACAGGAAACCATAAAAATCTTAGAAGAATCAATAGGAAGCAAAATATCAGGCATATAGCAATATGTTTACAGATACATCTCCTAGGGCAAAGGAAACGAAGGAGAAAATTAAAAAATAGGACTACATATATAGTCCTATTTTATATATATATATATATATATATATATATATATATATACACACACACAT